CATCCCCTGTCTCTCCATCCATCCATCCATCCATTCATCCATGATCCATCCACCCATCCATTCTTTTCAGCCTCCCGCTTCCTCTTCCTCATTCCAGATCTACGGCTGAAGAATTCGGTTACCCCTCCCTATATAAGTACACACATACGTATTACATACATACATTCCTCACATTTACGTTTCAGCCGAGAAACAACCGTCTCGTTGCGATTGGGGAGTTAAAAAGTAAAACCTTAAAAACTATATTTCTTCGACTTCCGATTTGTGATTTTATCCCCATGGATCCCCATGGATCCCCATGGGTCCCCATCAAAGGGCTCCCCATGTATGAAGAGGAAAAATTCTTCATACGAGGAAGCTGTGAGCTTGATATCCAGCTAGTCCACACCACGAAGAAGAAGCTCCGTTCAGAAGACTACCCAAGCTTTATCATGCTAAGTGGGAAAGAAGAAACAATCAATCACTGAGTACGAATCTAACCGTGAAGAAGCGGTGGTGTTCGACACCGGAATGTCGAAAAGGAGATATATCGTACTATCTGCGGAATCGTTGATTCCTTTTTGCACCACTAGAGATATCATCCATGTGATTATCATTGCTTGACCCTTCCGCTCTTTGCAATAGTATGGCGAGGATCGTCGCGGCGTTCGTGGCTCGAGCGGGAATCATGCTGTATATAACTGGCTCGTAGACAGCCACATATGCGGACACTAATGTAAGGTACTCGACTAGAACTATCAAAAGCAAATCTGGTCCGCCGGAATTCCGACTTTTGAAGATGGAAATAAGTTGGAGACGAGAGGGAAAAGCAGAATTGGTTAAAATGTTATATTTGAATATGAATAGAGATTTGGACTTGGATGAAGCCTGTAATCAGAATTTGTGTATCTGTGTATGCACCGAAGCTGAACCTTTCCCTTGCTTCTTAATAAAAAAAGCTTCCATGCTGTTGATCGCTAAATATACTCCTTCATCCCTTGCTTTTGCAAATACCCGAGATCCAGCTCTTTCCATATTTTTTCCCAGCCGTTGACGATACAAGAGAAGCAAAATTGACCAATAAAACGCCATCGGCGACAAATATATATCCCCAAAATCAAAATGAAACCCATTCCATAGCTTTTCCGAACACCCTGCTCAAAAAAGCTCGCCCAACAAAGAAGTATACCGAACCGCTGAAGTGCTATGTTGATGTCCGGAGTTTGTTTCGGAAGAAAATCGTCCAAAATCCTGCCGTGTGATGTGGGGGTATTGGTGCAAGGTCAAACGCGAAATAAAAGTGTCATCATGGTACGTGAAGTCGAACGTGAGATGTGGAAACTCCTAGAGATTCCTGAGCGACATCATTCATGAGCATAAAGGACAATGCCCAGGCACGACAATGTATCGTTCATGGGGCCCCTTTGCACATTGGCGTTCTTTGCTTCCGTCGATGGAAGTCGAGAAGTAGTGAGCTCCAGGATCGATACATGAAGTGTAGATGTAGTAGTTCCTTGTGTATTCGCACATGGTGCTGAAGAGAATGGTATATTTGGAAGATGGACTTGAGAATAGGTCAGTATGGCGAAAGGGGTTGGAGGGGTAGATAGTGTACATACTAGGTGGGGCTAGGGAGGAAGAGTGACGTGAGGTATAACTTCAATGAAGCTCGAGTTGAAATGCGAATGTGAAGTTGATATCGGACAAGTGCGAGTCAGGGAGAATCTCATACCTTTATATATCCACTGCCGAAACTTTATTGAGGCTGAAATATAATGAAAAGAATAGATGTGGATATATCACCTGAGCCTTCCCTGTAACACTGTTTGAAAAAGCAACAGAATGTAAACAGATATGAAGGCGTCACGGAAAGGTAATTAATGAGAAAAGTAAGGGAAAGTTCTAGCCACCAATATCAAAATGGTGTCTAAGCAGAGACAAATCGGTGACTGTGTTATATCTTGAGTACAACAGTGATATTGTAGCCCGTACACGATAGATAGATACAAACTCGAGAGTCAAGAGGTGAAAAAAAGAAGCGAATGATGATACAATATACCTACTATGAAGTTGCGGATGTGAACGGATGATATGCGCTGCCAGCGGGGAGGGCTCGGTATGCCATTTGAATCATAGCTTCAACACCCGTAACCCCTGATGGCATGGTGCGCCGTGTACCCAAACATCCACAGGCAAATAGAGATATATAACGAGCATATGTACCGGGCACCGGACAGATGAGCGTGGGCAAGGCTACTGCCTGGTATGTATCAAACGCAAGATTGGGACTCTGCACATACGATCCATAGCTCATGGGCATTGGGGGCTGTTGGAAATGTGGATCATGTGGGAGGATCCGATTTAAGAGACGTGGGAACTGGACAGGGGATGCCCGTGTGAGATATGGTTGTGTTTGTTAGATAAATTAACTGGTGCGGTGTTGTGCGAAGCATTTTGGGAACTTTTGAGTGAAGGTCGCAGCTTGAGAGATGTGTGTCCGTGACATGGCGTTGAAAAAAAAGCAGCGCAAGGTCCGTGATTTCTTGGATCTAATCCTCCTGGTGGTCCCATGTCAATAATCAATTCTCAATAACGATTTGATGTATGTACTAGATATAGTAGATATAGTAGATATAGTAGATATAGTAGATATAGTAGACATAGTAGATATAGTAGATATACTAGATATACTAGATATACTAGATGTACTAGATGTACTAGGTATGTGTATGGGGGCTTTGAACTTTGGGGGTGATGAACAGCAAAAGGCACATGGTACGAAAGAAACAAGTTCCTTTTCCGAGAGGCAATACATCGGCATACATCAATACCTAGATAGATTTGTGAGATCTTCCCATTATAGAAAGTCTTACAAGGACTGAAAGGGCTAGAGAGGCTTACGCATACAGATATCTTGTTCGACAAAAGCATCTAGCTAATACCTTCAATGCCTGAGAAAGAACATTGATAATGATCAAACATGGTAATGGGGTTGTTCATCTCCCACAAAGCTAGCTGGATGTCACTTTAGCCTCTCCTAGACGATTGTAAATCCTTTCGCAGTAGACACCCCTAGACATCTAGTACCGCTCCAAGTTTTACCCTACAAGGAATTACAAGGACATTGAAATCGGAGATTATTCAGAGAGGACGTCCTATCAGATTTTAGACTCAATCATTGTATTCTAGAAGTCGTCTGTACTGCACTAGATCTGAGCACGCATCCCTATCTTATCTCGCCAAAACCTCCTATTTGCGCATTCTCTCCCATGCTCTTCGATCACGATCGACTCGGATCTCACACATCATGCTACCTCCAAATCTCAAATCGATTTAATGAAGGCGATCCGAGATATTGAAGGGAAAAAGCAATTATTTTCTCAATGCACGCAAGTCTGTGCCCGATGGATCCTCTCTATTTCTCCCCCCGAGCCCCAAGGAACTCATCCACCCATCCCATGTAAACGGCTCGACGGCGATACAATTGCAAAAGTCTAAGGAGGGCTTGTGGAACCAGATTTCATACAAGGGGCCATGGGAAGATTGCTGCCTTGCTGCTACTAATTCCTCGGGACGTGATTTCTACGAATGCCACGGGAAGAAGTAAATGAAGGATAAGAAAATGTCCTCAAAATTGTCCACTTGTGATGATTCCCGAGGTTTTTTGAAGTGTAAAGATAGCAAGTGCCGAAACCAGCTCAAGGTCACATGCGACCATTTTGAATTCGACATACATAGGATACAGAGGAGGACATGAGAAAGACCCAAGGAGCTAAACAACCTCATCGGTGATACTTTTACTACCCGTCCTCACCTAGACACTGTGCGTTGCTTCATCTCACCGTTGGATTAAAAAAGAGGTCCAAGCTGAAACTACATCATGTTCCCTTAAATGGATTGATTTACAGGTCAAAGCGGATTCTCGTCTGATATGTGTAAGGAATTATGGATTCCGGGACAGCTGTCTCCCAGCACTACCAATACCAAGCTCGCACTCGGGAACCAGGGGACCTGACATGTCAATCTTACCCCAGTACGATCAAATTTTGCAATCATCGGGATTTCATCTACGTGGCACGAGGACTTTGACAGTTTAGAAAGGCGGGCATATCGGGTACTCCCCCGTCCATGATTAAGCAGTATGGGATGGATTTAGAGTATTCTTTAATTCACGGAATGTATCAGCATCAGCAGATTCCGAAAGCTCGTCGGAATATTCTCTTTACCAAAAACACACACGCCCCTCTCTCTCATCATCATCGTCTCACTCTTTCGGATTTTCTTCAAACGAGGACGGTACATTACCGTACATACTAAGGATGCTTCATGCAAGATCACCGAATCGAGCCTCCGAGGTCGTTTCCCCAGGTCTAGACTCGAGATTCATTTCAATCCCCGGGGATGAATATCCTCACCATGTTCCTGGTCATTTCGGCAAAGAAGCCGTTCGAACGACTGATATTATGGACCCGCCGGTCTGGTTGAAGAAATCTAATCCCAGCATTGCAAGGTGGAACGAACTTCCGGGTTTGAAGTGAGAACATTGAAAGTGCCCAACTTATCATGTATTATGTAAATCTCGATGTCGATGTCGATGTCCATGTCCATGTCCGTGTCGGGAAGGGCGGATAGGGGATTCCGAAAGCGATAGGACATTTATCTAGAGGATCTCGAAATATCCCTATCCGTGATCATGTTTCGAGAACCTTGAAGGGACGATCATTCTTTCTTTTACGAATTGACATGAGCATTATTAATGTATTTAGCTTCTGGAAGCATGAAAATGATGTATTATGTGTGGAAAACTAGAAGTAAACTAACTCGGCAGCCTTCTTCTTATCCCTGAAAAGCCCCAGTTGTCTCCCGGGAAGCAAGTGCTTTGGTCTCAGGTACCAATTATTTAATAAAACCACCGCATTATGCTCCACAAACCTAGATTCAACCTCGTATGTCCACGTATCATGATTGCAGGATCAGAAGCAATCCCGCCCACACCCCTTTGTCATATGCTGTGTAATCTCTTACAACAAACCAACTATGACTGCCAATCCACCAAGCAAGCCAGCTCCAGCACCAATCTCATTTTGAAGTCCTGCGTTCTTTGTGGCAGAAGCTGAGGCAGAAGCTGAGGCAGAAGTCGAGGATCCAGTTGCTGTTTTTGACGAACTTGAGCCCGTCCCCGAAGCTGTAGCTGAACCTGTGGTTGAACCTGAAGTTGAACCTGAAGTTGAACCTGAAGTTGAACCTGAAGTTGAACCTGAAGTTGAACCTGAAGTTGAGCCTGAAGTTGTGGTGGCTGTCGCTCCAGTCGCACTGCTTGCTGCGCTGGACGAGGTCGAGCTAGCGGACGATACGCACGAGACCACCGATGGTAAATTGGTTACGCCTGAAGTTCTGCATAGATTCTGAGCAAAAGCAACTGCAGTCTGCTCATCCTGGGCATCACAAGCGTCGGCCAAACAACACGCGATGCCACTCAAAAAAGAAGAGCTTGAGCAAATGCAGGCGATGTCGAGGCTGGCGCAACCAGCGATTTGAGAGCCCGTCGTGTACTGGGTAACGCACGATTGCTACATGGAATATTGATATCAGCAATCTGGCTTCGTGAGGCACAACATATCGACACACGGCTGAACCAGAGATAAGGGCGATTGGTATAACGATGGGAAGGGAAGAAAAGCTTATTCAAACTCACTGCACAGGTTGGGAGTCCATTCTGTGCCGCGGTGAAACCTGCGAGCACTGTGGTGATGGCAATCACGATAGAATTAGTCTTCATATTTTCGAAGAGGTACGACGATAGATGGTTCAATTGGTGAGTTGTTGAATTGACGAGTTGGTTTGGCAAAATGAGAGTAAATTAGGACCGACTGGATGGAAAGATGGATGATTCAAGAAAACTTTGAGATTCACTGGCTTTCTCAGAGGGGAGGTCGCATCCATGTTTAAATAGAATCAAGCCATACCTACAGAGTACAACGTGTGCAAGCCACCACCATATCTTTTCGCGATTGGTTGGCTGGCACGAATTGCAGTTCGTCTGGGAGGTTGGGAACCAATATTAGCATCGGCACTGGCCCCTGCTAATTAAACCTTTTTGTATCTTACAACAAACTCAAAATGACCATCACGGCTGTGGAATCCACGAGCTAAGTTCTCAATGTTGAATGAATGGAAAAATTCAGGAAGAAAATGACATTACAGTTGACGTTTTAATTACGGATATCTCCTGGCTATAGGTTCGTATTTTTTTTTATACGACCCTAAAGTTTATATAAAGTTTGAGCAAAGTATAAGTAGCTATCTAACAAGATAAGAGTCATAAGACGGTAATGGCAAGACATGGATGAGTGAGCTCTACTTATTATATCAATACTCAATACTGCCTTGTCCGTATTAAATAGCTACCTACTTACCCACTAGGTGAAAAGATGGTAGGTAGTCTTTTCTATACATGTTCAGTATTGAGTCCATGCAACAGACTAGTAGGTAAATCATTCAGTTGATAGGTCTCATTCTGAATGGACCCTTGAACAAGAACTCTCTACTCCGTACCTAGGTAATCTAGGGGGGCAGATTCCATCAAAATGAGAAACCTCACCATACAGATGATCGAATGCAAACTAAACCAACTGTACCCCCCTTACAGTTGCACCTGAGTTCTTCGAGACAGCAGTCAGTGTCGGTTCAAATAGTTATTTTAGCCAAGTTCCATAAATATTGACGATATTAACTGTGTAATTTTTTCAGGGTTAATTTATTAATTAACTCTATTTTATTACCTACCCCCACCTACCCACCTACCCACCTACCCATCTACCCATCTACCCATCTACCCATCTACCTACCTATCCATCTATCCATCTCTCTCTCAGTGGAGGCAGTTTTCCTCTTGCTTTTCTTTCTGGTCCTTTGTCCACCGGAATACCTGCAAAGTAATTTCGGTGCTTAGCAATACCCAGGTAGGGATGCCAACCTCATGTTCAAGGTTCCCCGCAAGCATTCTCGAACCACTCTGACCTTTTTTTTGGCTGATCATAATATTAATTTATCTTAAGCTTTCTCAAGGCTCCTTAAAGATTAATTATCAAATAAACTCATTAGCCGATAACCATTTTAGCCACAGCACAAGCCCCACAGCACAAGCCCCACAGCACTAGCCGCAAACATCTCCAGCCCGCTCCCATGAACCCCCAACAATAAGTCATCCTCGTTTCACCGTTTCACCAATCGCATTTCCAATTCCAGCCTTGTCCGTAAGCACAATTCAAGTGCACAGGAATGGATACCAAATCATTGCGAGAGTAGGACGGACGGAAGGTTATTCTGTCACTCAATCCAACCAGTACAATCCAATTCGCAGCTGGAATTCCATTCATGAACAACAGAAGCTTCCTTCTCTATCAAAGATGGGGATGTTTATTCTAGAGGATAGCATGGAACATGTTCCTGGTAGGGCTCCTTGCTTTTTTGGATCGGAAACTTACTTGTTACTGATGGTTCCAAGGCACCACTCGATATTTTGACGACCCCGAAAGACCCCAACTTGCAAGTGCTGCATCTGCCGGCCTGAAGTGTGATACATCGGGTCCCGTTCCTATCATTCTCGTCCCGCAACCTAGCGATGACCCCAGGGATCCATTGGTATAGTCTTCTATCCAGCACGGGAAGACAGGTCTCTTACTGATTCCTTCAATGGTATTTAGAATTGGCCATTATGGAAGCGCGATGTTATCCTCCTTGTCCTCTCAGTCATTTCGATATTCGCTACCTGTCTGGGTCCTATCCTAGCTGCGAACACCTTAACTCTGTCATTACATTTCGAGCTACCATTTACAGAGATTGCGATTTTGACGGGGTACTATCTTATGGGTGTGGGTGCCATTGGGATCTTCTACATACCTTCGGCTAGAATATGGGGCAAGAGACATCAATTCCTTCTTGGGACGGTTATCTTGATTTTCTCAAGTGCTTGGGGAGGTGCTTCCAAATCTTATGCAAGTCTAGTTTGGGCAAGGATATTCCAAGGGATAGGAACAGCTCCCTTCGAAGCCTTGGTCAACGCGACCGTTGGCGACATATATTTCGTTCATGAGCGTGGTAAACGTATGGCTTTGACTAACCTTGCGGTGTTTGGTGGTTGCTTCTTTACACCTATTTTGGTTGGTAAAATTACCCACACAATTGGTTGGCCATGGTCGTTCTACTTTGTCGCTATCTTCGTTGGAGTTTGTCTACCACTTGTGATTTTTTTCGTTCCCGAGACCGCATATGTACGGCCTCTTCATTTGAATACTGATCTAGCATCTTCCGACGAGATTGAGCGAATTATATTGAAACCAGGTCATGAATTGGAACAAGTACTCCGGGGACCCAATACAACAGAAACCACCGTCACAGCAAATAGTAATGGTAGTCTATCCCCACATGATAAACCTAGAACGCACATTTCATATGGTAAAGGTAAATCGAATTACAGGAGCACTCTCATGCCATTTAGTGGTCGCTACTCTGATGAAAGTTTTTGGAAACTTTGCTTGCGCCCATTCCCTCTATTCTTTCAACCAGCAATCTTTTGGGCCTGTCTTATTCAAGGAGCTCTTATTGGCTGGACAGTATTCATTGGAATCATTCTCGCGGCAATCTTCCTTGGTCCGCCTCTTTTCTGGGATGAAGTCAAAACTGGCTATGCCTATACGGGTGCGTTCGTCGGCGCCATTCTTGGCTTCATTGTTGCGGGTGTTCTTTCTGATTGGAGTGCCAAATACATGACGAGAAAGAACCACGGCATATACGAGCCAGAATTCAGAATCCTGTTGGTAATTCCACAGTTTATTTTTGGGTGCGCCGGGCTTTATGGTTTTGGGATTACGGCAAATAGACCGGTGGATTTTGGCTGGTTTTGGCCGATTTTCTTCTTCGGATTGGAGGTTATGGGAATGGTAATTGGAGCTGTGGCTAGGTGAGTTTGTTCTACCGTGTTTGGGATTTTGGAGAATAGGTTAACTAACATGTTTAGTTCTCTTTATATTGTTGATGCACACAGTTCGTTCCCTTGTTCTACTTACCCTTCCCTGCCTAATATACATGATTTTTGACAATGAATAGGGGACATCGCTATCGAAGCATTTACCTGCCTCTTGATATTTAAGAACTTTTTCAGTTTTGGCCTCACATGGAGTGGATACGAGTGGCTTGTTAAGAATGGCGTCTATGATACTTTTATGATCATTTCAAGTATTCAGGTTGGCATTTGTTTGCTAAGTGTTCCAATGTGTAAGTTATATTTGGTTCTTCAACACTAACATAAAACATGACTTTCTCGAAAATTTACTAATAATTATTCTAGATATATTCGGAAAGCGGAATCGGGCGTTCTTTCACAAGCATGATATCCTTGGACTTTTGGGTTTAAGGTGAACAATACGAGGTTTAATATCCCGATCTGTAAGATTAGAGAAAATTAATGTCTTTGATGTTGAATTTTGTTTCAAGTTGCTGATGAATATCTGACAACTTGGGTAAATGATGAATTTTAACAACTCTTTGCATGCCACATTTTGCTCATGCTTTGATGGTTATGTGGAGGGGAGCGTAAATTTCCTTCCTGATCTGCCCATATCAAGGTGTCCTATTGGAAAGATTGAAATTAGTAGGAAATGCATTCGTGCCGTCAGTTCTTAAATACATATCTAGCGTGTCTGACACATTTATCTTCTTACACTTCTACGCTCAATGTTGATTCTTTATATCATACACAGAGGTCTCCAGTGAGAGTCAATTTCCACAGACAAGGGTCTGGTTCATTCGAATACACATGTCTTAAATGGCAGTCTCTTTATGTGATAAATTATTTCACTATGAACCTCTGATATCTCATTGCCAACATCGAATCTAGACATTGAAAGAAGTCTTACTACTTTCATTTGGGTATTACGTTCTCGATTCTTCTGTGGGTTTCAGTTCTTCTGCTTGTAGGGTCTAAATCCGCGATGGCATGCTTAATTAGCTGAAGGATGAACCGGGAAATATCAAAACCTTCGACAGACATAAAGTTCTCCTTTTAATAGGGGCTGGTTGTAAAAATCCTAATATAGGATATTGGAGTACCAATTGTGTGTTGCGTGAATAAGAACAGCTTCACCATGATATATGTCAGGCCACAGGTAGATTTTATCTCTTAAGATTCATATCATTCTCCACCCCAATTTCCGCGAGACAGCCTCAACCTAGAAGTCCTATACTAGGCCACGATTATCTTAATTGTTGGCCGCTGGAGGAGGTATGTGCTCATACGAAATGTGGAAACGGTCGACAAAGCCTCTGAGACGCATCAAGATCAATGCCGTCCGCAATCTATGCCTAATACTATCAAGTTCCACCACGCGATTCTGATTCAATTGTACCAGAGGTTGTCTAACTTCCTGTCCACGAAGTTGCCAACCGACCCCAACCCATCTAAGTGCGATGTTGTTGATATTACTAGGAATGTAGTGGCTCTGAATTGTGGAAAGGATCGAAATCACCAAATCTACATTGTCGCCGTCTGTCGGGAATAGGCAGGTCTGAAACCAGATTCCTGGTGGCTCTTCGTGAGCTCCTACAGCTGTTTGAAGATGACTGGGCCCTATCTGTTGGAATGCAACTGGTACTTCATCCATGGTAAAATTATGCGCACTTTCTTTTGGGAAATTGTAGCCTTCGATTACTACCGTTAGGTCTGGGAGTCTGTTTCTTTATACAAAAATCTACTCATGTCATGGCGGCTGTTCAGTGGAAAAGGATTAAGAGAATGATTGTAAAAAGAACCCATGGAATTGCCACGAAGTGTGATAATGAGGGGTAGAATTCATCTTTATCGTGACTATTCCTAATAGGATATATCAGGAGTTCCTACTGTAGTCATACTGGACGTTGGATATCTGAATAGATTGCGGATGAGCCCCCTGTGACTGCGTGTCAACTAAATCTCGAACCTGTGATTTTTGTTTGTGCTGGTGCATTCTAGATCTCATGCTTGTATGTTAGTTATGGAACAGGAAGAGACTATCATCTGCTACCACATGGGCTCCGCGGTCCACGAGATGTTTTTACAAACATTCTTGCATTTGCCTAGGTATACAAAGGTCTAGAATCACTCAGTTCGGAATGTATCAGAAATTTGAATGGAAACCGAGACTCTGCTAGTCACCACTAATCAACAATCTTCAATAGCCGGTGTATGAGATTTCCATGATGACTAAAATAACGATCAAATTCACACCAGTGAAAAATCCTTCCCTGCCTTCAACCGAAGAATCTCAAGAATCATGGGATACACAGTGCGAGTTGCCATTCGTCTACCCAGATGACGGACCAGCCAAACTCCTATGGAATTTCGTCACCCAACTGATTGAAGAAAAACATCATTGCAGTGCGGCGCACGTCGTGATTCACAGTATTGCAGTCGCGTTCTCGGTGGGTCGAGGAGGGATGGAAGAGTGTCGGTTTGTTGAGCCGGTGGCGTTGGGATGGAAGGTGAAGGAGTTGGGGGGTGGGGCGTCGATAGTGGAGGTGCTGCATGTGGTTTATGGGATTCTTGGATCTTGAGGTTTGGTGAAGGCGTGGGCAGAGTGAGGATGGGAGTGATGGGATGATAGACAAGCTTTCTAGAATGTTTCTGCGCTATTCTGCTTGGTGGGACTATCTCTGTTTGGTTTGTGTACGGAGGCTTGGCATCTTATTGTGGTTTATTGCTATACTTTGCTTGGTATCAATCTTCTTTAGATCATATAGTAAGGTTGAAGGTTTCCTTCTGCATCTGAGATTAATTTCAATAAGAAGGTTTTGTTGAGTCGTATATAGTATGTCCTCACTAATTGTGGAGAATTTATCCATCATTCATCGTCTCTTAGCGTAAAGCAAATGAAGTGGTAGAAAATGCGAGATATTCCTTGAAGCCAGGGTTGAAAGACGTAGAAACCGATGGGATTTTCCAAACAACGATTGATATCGAAATTTTGCTCTGCTCTTCATCTCCTCAACATGGATGAGTTCTTTAACCCCTCTCGCTAATCACTTGACCACTTGTATATAAATGTGCTCTCCATCTCCAAAAGTTTCAACATCATACACAGATCAGATCTACAGTCTTGAAGCCAAAAAACCCACACATGGTCAAACTTTCAACATGTCTATGGTCGTCGTCCGCTTCACCCGACTCCCCACACCCCCCCTCACAATCAACTCCAGCAATGCCCACGACTACACCCCCTGGTACGAAGCCCTGCAGACTAAGTACCATTCCTCCGCCACGGAAGCATGGAGCGCTCTCTCCAGCAACATCGTCTCTGCCATCCACAACCACTACCGCCACTACCAGTACTGGAACTACAAGATCTGCAAGATGGAGATCCTGTGGAAGTTGGGGCGTGGTCAGAATGCCCCTCAGATACTCTATGAGTATGCGGTGAATGATGAGTATTTGGAATTGCACGAGGGACAGCATGAGAGGATTGTGGCGGCGTTGGCGTTGCAGAATAGGGCGAGTGGGGATTTTATGGCGGTGGAGTATATGGCGGGGTCGTCGAGTCAGGGGCAGGTGGGGTTGGTGTCGTTTATGGAGTTGGAGAAGGTTTGAGGGGAGGGTTGGTGAGGTGCGGAGGTTCGAGGAGGGGGGGGAGATTGGTTAATAGGAAAGTAGAGAGATTTTGGGATGAATAGGAATACAAGATACATTGTGGATACGCGGCGCAAGGAATGGGAGAGGGAAATGGTACTGCGGCTCCTGGATATATCACCAATCACTTGACGATAGCGAAATGATCTAGGGAAATAGGAATGTCTTGATCCTTATGAAAGCTGAACGATATGACCATTGTTTCTTTTGCATTGATATTTTCTGAGCAAGCGAAAGTTCTTTGAAGAGATTCTTTTGTGGTGGGGGGCAATATATTCATAGTACTTTCCTTATTGAGTAAGTATATCGTTGAATGGATTGTGATTTCATGGTTGATGTGTTTCATATAATGAGCTGCATGAATAAATTGATCGTGATATATAAATCTTTGCTATGATTGAGTATTTGGGTTAATGATAATAGCGATGTATTCTTTATTACGAAGCAGCAAACAGATTATTTTTAAAAGAAGAGTTCGATGTTGAGAGTAAACTCACTCCCAAGTTTGCTGCATTTTGAAAGAACTACCAGTGGGTGTACGGACTGACGGGACACTACAAAAATTGACTTGTGAACATCTCTTAATGAATTAATTCATATATCTTAAGAACTAATAGTCGGCTCTTATAAGCAGCCTCCTAGTTCCTAGTCAGGGCAAGTGGTTGTCCCCGTTCAAATTTTTATAGTATTTGAAAACAAATTATATTGTTGAATTCAGCGAAATCATAGCAATTCAATAATAATGAATTCATAATTTTATATTAGAAATTGAATAAGTTACCTACCAAAACATATAAGGGGACAACCGCTTTCCCCGACTAGGAACTAGGAGGCCGCTTATAAGAGCCGACTATTATTACAATTGTTAATTCGAATTGAAACAATCAAATGGTGAAATCTCATATCAAACAATTAAACATTGGATTTGTTAAAAATTTCGAAAGTTGGGAAGTGGTTTGTACGACAATGACAATTGCAGACGCGCTCGGAAATACTTTAGCTTTGCTCCATGGACTTTCTTTAATTCTTGTGGACGAAATTTCCAGTCGTTTGCTTTTGCTTCCAAGTTTTGGTCACTTCGATTCTTAACTGCATCAATACACACAAAAGCTTTTTTGATTTCGGGCCCACAAGTACTCGCCCCTCCATATCTAAGGTCTTTGGACCTAGTTTAGCTGTCCAGATACATAGTGAGAGTTCATATTATTCCACCGTCACATGAACCACCATAAAATGACTCGAACGTAGAAGAAAGAAACGCACAAAAAGCCATATATACGAAGTAAGCCTGGTAGCATTCTCCTGAATCCTAACCCAGACTGACAATCGAACGGCCATCCAATTTTCATCTGACAGAAGCTCACCTATTTATAATCTCCCAGATTCATACTGGCAGGAAGTCTATTTCGTCCCTTGCATGAGAATCAGAGGGAAATCTTTGTTCATATTATAGAGCAATAGATCACATAAACACACATGTTCACGAATCTGTTCAGTAGCTATTCTGAACCGAATTGTATCTCGTGGAGATCTACATCACACTCGTGAATTTTTGTGCCTTTCTTTTACTTTGCATTCACGGACAATGACTCGGCTTAGAGGACAATGTTGAAAAGGAAAACCAAACTTGTGCTGATAAATTCATGTTATACTTCCTATCTACACAAACGAACTTAGCAATAACCGCCCAAAACACCACAACCCATTGCTGAAATGCTGTCTCATCAAGTCCCCACATTGATATCATTTTTGACTTCTTAGAAAGCCATTTCCTTCTTAATCTCCGCAATCGCCAAACCAGGATTCAATCCCTTCGGACATGTCCTCGAGCAGTTGAGAATGGTGTGACATCTGTACAAACTCATGCTGTTATCCAAAGCTGCCTTACGTTCCTCCTTCTTCTGGTCACGGGAATCCGCAAGCCATCTGTAACTTTGCAATAAGATAGCTGGTCCCAAGTACTCCTCACTGTTCCACCAGTAGGATGGGCAAGATGTCGAGCAGCATGCGCAGAGAATACATTCGTACAGACCATCAAGCTTCTTACGATCCTCCTTGGATTGTAGGTATTCCTTTCCTTCTGGTGCTGGGTCGGTGTGTTGAAGATATGGCTTAATGGACTTGTATTGCTTGTAGAATTGTGTCAAATCTGGAACAATATCCTTGACTACATAGGTGTGGGGTAGTGGGTAAATCTTTGTTTCGTGCTTAGCATCTCTTGGAATGCGGCCTATAATAAATGGTCAGCAACTGTGTTTCAATATCAAACGGTCGAGTAACATACACAAACAAGCCAATGTGTTTACTCCATCAATGTTCATTGCACAACTACCGCAGATACCTTCTCTGCAGGATCTTCTGAATGTAAGAGTAGGGTCGACCTCATTCTTGATTCTAATAAGCGCATCCAACATCATAGGTCCAGTCTTGTTGAGATCCAAAGTATAAGATTGCATGCGGGGCTTGCTGGTTGGCTCATCAGGGTTCCATCTGTAAATGTTGAATGTCTTGATCAAAGACTCAGAGTCGGCAGCGGGTTCCTTGACAGTGGAAGTCTTCGAAGCAGATTCCACCGGACGAGAAGGAGAAACGGTAGGACTTGGAGGTGCTGCACTGTCGACTGATGCCATAGTTCGCATCTGTGTTCTGAAAGCTGGTCTTGCTGCGGCGAATATCGCGCGTGCACTGCGGGCACTTGTGCGGAGAGAGGCCATTGTGGAGGAGTGGAGTTGAAATATCAGAATCAATTGGATAAGGTGAATAGGTTCGAAAGGTAGTTGAGTATTATTACGATGTTGTATGTATCGATGGTAAGATAGAGAGAGAGCCCTTGTTTGAAATGTCAAAGGATCAAGACAAACTTCCAAACAAAGTTGTCAATTGCATTTAAGAAGTTGTGGAGAAGGCGAAACTGCTCTTGAACCGAAATACCGACCAAAGTCGCTTACCTCACCTGATTAACCAATCAGAGATTGTTTTATTCAAATCAAGAAGCGGAAAAAAGCGGGTGAGGTTATTCCCGTAAACTTGTTAGCCGGGTCCCGACCAATTATTGGCATTTGGATTCAATTACCTAGGTAAATTTACTACAGTCCTCGAGTTTATCTTTAATATATACCGAGTTTGAGCTGTAATTGCTTCTTTTTATGGTCATGTTCGACTTTTATAATATTTATATAAACCAAACCCATATAAGACCACTTATACACATCAAAATCATCATCACATTAACATTACATGAACCGTTTGGAAGCCGACGTCGTGCGTACTAGGTATGTGACTTCTACTCAGGCATGTAGAGCGGCTGCAAGCAGATCCCAGCGCGGCTACAACTGAGAGCCTGCAGAGTGTTCAATGTCATGTGATCTGGGATCAATGGAGCATATCATTGGTTGTCCAATGCTTCAATTGGGTCCGGAAGTATCGTATTCGGAAAATGTATTAAAGAGCAATGGCAATACACTCTCACTCTATGACGTTTAGACTACTTAGGTAATGCTATAATGCTACATTTCTCACACTCAAAAGCCGTGGTCAGGCATAATAAGGCACAACACAACTTTTAATTCTTGCCACTTGCTAAACTTGAGATCCGATCCATTAGATCTAGCTTCTTGTGCTTGTGTATTGATCGAAGCTAGCAAATCGAGTAACCATTCTGAGCCATTTTCACCACAGCATCCACCTTTCTTTCCTCGGCAGTACCGGGAAATCTCTACTGGGCACATACACACATCGATAGACACTGATGTGGAATTATCTGTTCAGTGATGGATTGGCTTGATGGCATAAGTAGACACGTCCTCTATCAATTGCCCAGAGCGTGGTGGAGTTTGAAAACATCTGTGCAAGTGAGCTTGGGGAGTTGTTCACATGTCTCAACTGCTTTGGCAAAACATCAAGTGATGAATTCATACATGCTATTGGCAATGAGAAATAGATGCAACTAATCGCGCATTTCGCTGGAAATGACATCTCGAGTCTATGTACGTCCAAAGCATGCCATTATCTCGCCTGTTATTTGAGTACACTCGAATTCAGGATCTAGAAATTCACCTTTTTCCAGCAAGATGAATACTAAGTAGTATCATTGCTCCAATGTTCTTACACAGCTGGTATGATGAGGTTTCAACAGTCTTAGTCAGGTAGGCTTTATGCAATGCCAAGTCTCATGAGCGCTGGCAATTGATCGCTTGTTTGGCTTCAAATTGATACAAGTACAACAACCCTTCACAGTCTCGCCTCACTCATGTTTAGAGCATCATTGCTAGCATGGGATTTGGAATCTAGCCAGTCTTCAACATGTCTTCAAACGTATCTTTCCTTTGCTGACTGCGTCTGCAACACATCTGCCATTTCTTCAGAGAGGTGTGAGGCCTCACAAATTCTTGGAACATGCTATTTTTATGGTAGTATGACAGGGGGGACAATGGAGACCGTCATAAATGGCGACATACTTGAAAGAATCGATTCATGTTGCCTTTACTCCACGATAATATCAGGAGCAAAGATTTGGGGGATCTCCAACGGTAAATGGTTTAAACTCCGTAACATTCTGATAAAGGAAGGTGTGGCTGGAAAAGTTATTTTGGCACGTAGCAGGTATCGTTATCGTTCAGAGGGACAGGGCATGACGTTGTAAGTCAACTACCCCACTTTCCGACCACCCCCTGTTTCCGACCACCTAAAAAATTCATATTATCTACACTTAAAACTTTAATAACTCAATAACTATTGAACTTCAATGAAATCGCCTGTAGAATCACTTTCTATAGCACTAGAGCTATCATCTACCTCATCTTCACGATCTCCAGCTTCAATTTGTGTACGCCTTATAGCTCTAATCCCTGCGAACTTCGAATTTGGAGATACCACAACCTTTCGCCTTTTTCTAGGTAATGCTTCATCTAATTGATATTCTAGCTTTCTAATCTTATTCTCTGCCTCTAAGAGTTCATAATCCTTAGCATCGAATCCTTTTATAATCTTGCGAAATAGTAATCTTCGTGTTGGCAAATCGATCTCCTTCTCTTGAATCATTATATCTCTATATTTTCTGATATCGGCTCCTTTTTGAGGGGTTTTCCATTGAATAAACGATGAATATATATTCCATTGAAGAATAGGATCATCATCAGATTCAGGATTAAGTGATAAAACCTCTCTATTGCTATTTTCAAGCAAAAGTCGACTCATAAGAGGTTTAGCCATATTTTTGGGCCAAAGACCACTAGCTTGCCACCCAGACTTGATATTTTGAATAGTTAAACCTTCTATTCTAGCCTTCTGATAGCAAGAAAGGAAATTGCGCTTTCCAATTGGTGAGGAATCGGATAATAGACTTAATTTATTAAGTTCGATTCGATATGCACTTTTTAGGGGTGAGAACACAGATAAATCGAGTGGTTGTAGTACGTGTGACGTATGTGGTGGGAGAAGTAAGAGATATACGTTGTTATTAAAGCATTCTAACATAAATGCTGTAGTTTCATGGCTTCCGTGTCCGTCCAAAATGAGGAGTCTTGAATTTTCCGGCTGAATAGGGGTAGTTTGAGGGATATAGATCTTTTTCAGCCATTCTAAAGCTGTAGCATCTGTAGTCCATCCATTTTCTGTAGCGGTAAAGTTCCAACCCTTGAATAGAGTCAAATCTGTTGGAAACCATTGTTGTTGAACTGATTTTCCCTTATATATTACAAGGGGAGTAATGCTTTTTCCATTGGCTGAAATGCATTCTATAAAAGAGGTCCAAATTCGAGATCCAGGTTGCTTTTTTTGAATAAATCTTCGATCAGTGCTTCCTACTACTAGTCCATTAAGACCCTGACCCTCCATTATACCTGCTTCATCCATATTCCATCTGTTGGCCGGCTTAATAGCCTTGATTTCAGGGATTGCGAGGTTCCGGAACCACTTCTTAATAATATCAGATGTAGCACCTGAAACTCGTGCAGAATCGATTTGATGTTGCTTCTTAGTTCCAATATTAGGATGCCTTCGAAAAAAGCTATGTATCCATTTCTTTCCAAGTGAGGGATCCTCCCCTCGTACAATAAGGAGGTGCTCTGCCATCTCTCTGATTTGACGATGTGTAGGGCTAGTACCAAGAGCTTCCTGTACTAATATCCATTCTGCTAGTCGATTCTCCTGAATTGGAGATAACTTTTGAAGTATTTGGGCGCCTTTTTGATGCGAAACTCCACCATATATTCGATCGTGAAGTGTGGTACGTGGAACACCATAATCCAAGCTAGCTCTTCGTATGCTTGCTCCATTTGTAATCGCTCTAAGAGCCTCTGCGATATCTTCTTCGGTATATCTATTCTTCATATCACAATTATAATAATATCAAAATTTCAAATCAATTGATTAAAGCATTGTTGAGTTATTCAAAGTATAAATTTTATAATTACTCAAAGCGGTGTGGTTTTTGAGGTGGTCGAAAAGAGGGGGTGGTCGGAAAGTGGGGTAGTTGACTTAGCATCACGGGCCTTAACTGCCCCTCTCAGCCCTGATACTATGATGGACAGCAATCGACGTACGTAAAATCTATGACAAAATCTTTTAGAAGAGGCAATCTCCGCTGAACATAGGGAATGTATGGCTGCAACTATCTTGCTTCCTCTGAAAAAGTGTTTAAGGTTAATCATCCTTGGTGTGCCAATGCTCAATCTGTGCCTGGGTTCGCTGATCTCCAGTTGAGAGCAAGCATTGTTTCAAGTTTCAAAGTCACGCTTTGGATTTTCTCGACCCCTCGAATAACACTGTATTTGAGTCTAGATCAAGATACCCATTAGACTTTACTAAGGATCTGAGATAAATTTTATCTGCACATGGCAAGCACGGAAGTGGCTTTACCCCAGCAAAGTATAATTACCCCGATACCGAAATGTAAGTCTGACATTCTGACACAAGCTCAATCTCGAAATACTCGTCAATCTGACCAGGGACCCATTTCAAGAAACAATGCGCAGCCCATGAGCTGGTCTTGGCCCAATTTCGTGTCAGCTGACGTTACATCTACGTCCAAAAGGAAAGACTTAGCACAAGAAGCGAACCTAATTTTTCCAGGTATGTCATCCTCATCCTGCGAAATCACACCCAGTAAAATCCGAGAGTGTCAAATCTGCATCAACAGCATGCGAAACGTGTCGAGGAAGCTACTCTATCGTAAAAATTATGTTTTGCAGGATCATGTCTTCCGTTATTTTAAGAGTGCACAATTTTGCTCACTCCCCCCCATACACTGAGCTACTAAGCCGAGCATGTATGGAAATTAGTTCGTAAGATCCTATTTGGCTGATTTTCTGCAAGTGCTTCATTGTACATCGTATCTCTATATATTCTCGAGGTTCTTCACCCGAAGATGTTTTTCTTGGATCGTCAAATTTCTCCACTTCTAGTTTTCAGTATTTCAAAAGCTTTTTAGCTTATCGTCATTCCTTATTTTCGGGCTTAGTCCTACCCACATTCCTTTTTGTTTCAAAAACATACATATTTTTGCAAAATGCATTACTCCTTTGCTTTGTCAGCTTTCGCTGCACTCACCTCAACGGCATCTGCTGCGCTTACCATCAACAACTGGTCAGTATGCTTACTTTCAATATGATTCAAATCATTACTGACGTGCGTCAAGGTGTTCTACAGATGTGTACATCTACAAGTCAAACAATGGAGGCTGCAATGTCGGTACTAATGGAGCTTGTTCCACTGCTTCCAATGCTAGCCCTTGGATCATCAAAGCAGGCAAGGGATCTAGCAGCACCCTTACCCTTCCATGGGACACTGATGGACACGGAACATCAATCAAAATCGCCAAGACATCCAACTGGAAAACCACCCCTTCAGTTCTTCAATTCGAATATGCCTGGACAACTGGCCAATACTCTTCCCTTTACTGGGATCTCAGTGATTTGGACGGCTCCGGAGCTGGGCTGGTTGGAACTCCTTTCATGAATGATAACGTGAAAATTACCCCATCTGGTACTGGTAGCGGATCAGGAACTTGCGTCAAGCTCAAGTGCCCTGCAGGTGCTCTATGCAAGGATGCGTACAACACCCCCGATCAAACTGCCACCCGTTCCTGCCCATTAAAAACAGGAACCATGTGGTTGGATCTGTGTGAGCCAACCGGGGGCTTCAATTCTAGGAGAGAAATTAGCTTTGAGGCTTAGACGTTGTTGACGATGGAGCGAAAACTTAGGGATTGCATGATCTCGCTTATGGTCGTGCTTTGGATAGGAGAAAACCTGCCTGGTTGCTGGAGTTTCCTTCTCATATGTTTATGTATCCGTGAGGGGACGAGAGGAGCACAGTACGATTGTATGATAAATATGCTGGTGGCTAATTTATCTCATATGTTTCATGTATAACTAAATTTAAGTACCATGGGGGCGTTGAAGGAGCAAGGCAAATGATACCCTTTTCTTTGCTTTGAATTTATACATTCTATAACTAGCATCCCTGAACCAAATTAGAACACAAGCTATTGGATTTCGTGAAGATGTTGCAGCGATATTGTCACTGGAGGAAACATCACGTCTCAGTTTCGATTTGTCTTTCATCGATCCTAAAATACGACACTCATATCATTCCCCTGTGGCGGAGTGCAGAGGTGTCAGACGAACCCTGGTTTGAGATTTTGAGACAATGCAATTTTCTTATTTTAACAGAGCCTCCGTACATTGTAAATATATTTTATGTTACCACTGCAGACTTGGCTTTTGAATATCTTCTGAGTTTCGACTGACCACAATTTCTTGACGCTCGAGTAAGTTATCTTGGAGGATGGAAAATCGCGGATAAGGTTTTAAGCGACCACTCGTTGTGATTGGCTGCTTCAGACATCAGATTCTCCACACACTACATCTCCCCGAGTTTCAATGCCGATGTTCTCTTCCCCAGGAAACATATTAATCAATGAATGAGGTAAGTTTTGCTGTAAGTTACTTTCTATTGTTATTTCCTTCTATTCATATTCTCTTCTTCTATTAATACAGTATTTCACATACTGGTCGTGTATAATTGACACAGGAAATCATTCAATTGACACCAAATCCTCAAAACTTAACTACCCCTCCATCCCCATCTCCCCAATCCACACCCCAATATGTCCACCGGACCTCTTCGCAGAGGTCTCTCGCAGATCCTCAAAAAAGACCCCTCAGACATCGTCATCCTCTCTTCCCTCCGCACCCCCATCACCCGTTCCTACAAAGGCCAGCTCTCGTCCGCCTACCCTGAACAACTCCTCCATAGCGTTCTCAAAGCCACACTCTCCGCCAATCCCTCTCTGGACCCCTCTCTCATCGACGATGTATGCATCGGGGTTGTTCTCTCCGAGCTCGGGGGCTCGAAAGCCGGTCGTATGGCTATGAACCACGCGGGCTACGATACGCGCACTTCATTCTACACCACCAACCGCGCGTGCAGTTCGGGCTTGCAGGCGATTACCAACATTGCGAATTCGATTGCGACGGGCGGGATTAATATTGGTGTGGGAGGCGGAATGGAAAGTATGACGAGGAATTATGGGTCGAAAGCTATACCGGTGGATTTGTGGCCGCAGCTGAAAGATGCGGAGAGAGATACGAAGGATTGTATCATGCCAATGGGTCTCACGAGCGAGAACGTAGCGAGTAGATATGGAGTTGGTAGAGAAGAACAGGATAAGCTGGCGGTGGAGAGTCATCGTCGGGCGGCGGAGGCACAGGAGAAGGGATGGTTTGATGAGGAAATCGTGCCGGTTACGACGATGTGGCAGGAGACTGGGAAGGGAGGCGTGAAAGTGGGAGAACCGAGGGAAGTAACGGTTACGAAAGATGATGGGATTAGAAAAGGTGCTACGTTGGAGAGTATGCAGAAGTTGAAGCCGGCGTTCAAGGAAGATGGTGCTTCGACTGCGGGTAACTCGTCGCAGATTTCGGATGGTGCAGCTGCTACGTTGATGATGCGTCGGAGCACGGCTACCTCGCTTGGATTGTCTTCTTCCATTATCGGTAAATGGGCTGGCACGGCAATAGCGGGATGTCGTCCGGATGAGATGGGAATTGGCCCTGCGCTTGCAATTCCAAAGTTGATGGAGCAAGCTGGCATTCAGAAGGAAGAGGTCAATGTGTGGGAGATCAATGAGGCGTTTGCTAGTCAAGCCATCTATTGTGTGAGGGAATTGGGATTGATGGGTGCATATGAGAAAGGTGACGTGAATCCAAAGGGAGGAGCTATTGCATTGGGTCATCCATTGGGTGCTACTGGAGCAAGAATGGTGGCAGGTTTGTTGGCAGAGTTGAAGAGAAGAGATCAACAGGTGGGTGTTGTCAGTATGTGCATTGGTACCGGAATGGGAATGGCAGGAATGTTTGTTAGGGAATAAGTAACATATGGAAGGAAACCAAAAAGAATCTGTATCAATTATTGGCTTGCATGAGTTGCACATAATAGGTACTTGGCACATTAAACTCTGATAAATAACTTTCATTGAATTGCAATTCCTTGTTTAGGGTCTGGCTAAAATAATGTGAAACCTAACAATACTTTTTAATGTCCGAATTCGAATTTGCAAATCGAATGAGCTCCAGCTCAAGAATCATGCATGTATTGATGACCATCTTTATTAATATCTCCAAATACGAACCGCCTTATCTTCTCCACCACTGCTAACTTCCTCAAGAATCATGCATGTATTGATGACCATCTCTATCAATGTCTCCAGATGCGAACCGCCTTGTCTGCTCCAGCACTGCCCACTTTTTCTCCATCCGGGCTCCAGTCGACGGCATAAACTTCATCTTTATGGCCAGGCAAATCTATGATCATTTTGTCAGCTTTTTTGTACATTTGAGAGTCGAACTTGAATTGAAACATTGTGATGTAAACGTACCTTGAGCTAACTTATGAGTTACCATATTCCATACTTTCAGTGTTGTATCCTTGCTACATGTGACTAATAGCCTAGAATCAGAGCTAAAAGCACATTGATAGACAGGAGCAACATGACCTCTCAATGTATTGATGAACTTTCCATCACGGGCGTTCCAGACCTTAGTATGGTTGTCAAAACCACAGGAGGCAATGAGTAGTCCGTCGGGCGAGAAAGCTACGTGGTTCACTTGTTTCTGATGACCTAACATTCTTGCTATGGGCTTCGTTTGCTTGGAAGGTTCCCAGAGATACATGGTGAAATCGTCACTGGCTGTGACAAGGCGTTCCACGACTTCACCCTGAATTTTGGAGACTTTGAGAAAGCGTTCCTCTGCTTTCTTGACCTTTTCCTCCTCTGTTGCAGGGGCCTTGCCAGTGTGGTCAAAGTAGCCGGTTCGCGTGACATATTCTGTAGATAGTGCGAGATGGTTAACCCAGTGCGCATGAGCATTAAGAGAGTGTGCGAGAGTTCCGTCCTTTGCATTCCAAACCTTGACAGTTCTATCGCGAGATGATGTATATATGAATCCAGTTCCTCCCCATTTGACACATGATACTGTATCGGCATGTCCGGTCAAAACCAATTCAATCTTCTGTTGATTAGTCAACCATACTCTAACGGTGGAATCTTTAGAGGACGAGGCGAGTCTAGGTTCTCCGGGTTGCTGAACGTGATATGGCTCCCAAGCAAGATTTGTGACCCATTTCGAATGCCCCTTCATTGGTCTGCCTAATTGCTTTCCGGTTTTAGGATCCCACATTCTGACTGTATTATCCATACTACCTGTTGCAATCCTTGATTCATCCGGGGACCAGCTAACAGCCATTACCCAGTCTGTATGTCCCTTTAATGTGTGTACTGGAGTTCCTGTATCACAGTCCCAGATACGTGCCGTGTTGTCTCCGCTACCAGTGACCATTCTGGAGGATGATCTTGGAGAAAATTGTGCGACTAGAATGGATTTGCCATGTCCAGGTATTGTAGCTCCACACCGAGTTACTGACTGAACTTTGAAGACTGCCTCTGGTACTGCCGATACTGAAGTCGCTACTTCTTGTTTGACCGTACCAGGGACTATCATGGATTCATATATGTTTTCTGGGTAAGCTGGAGGGGGGTTTTTATCCGACGTGTTGTCCAGATTGGGCAATGTAAATCGATAGGCGATGTAGTTTGAAGGATCCTTGAACAATGGTTAGCTCTCAGTATTCAAAATCATTGTAGACAATCATAAATTTCCAATATTTACAATGAATGTGAACAATCAGAAGCTTTATGAACAACCGCAGGGTTTGAATGCCCATAATCTAAGCCAACAATGACAGCCTTTTGATTGTCTGTAAGATGTAGAAACGATGATAGGCTTAAAGTTTCCATAGAATGTTTGAGAAATGGGAAACTCACACGTCCTAGAAGAGTATTTAACAATATCCCTAAGTTTTTTGGTGATGCATCTGCGATTGGAACTAAGATGGGACCGTCGGTGAGAGGTAAACCTGTCGCGTCATCAAGAAACTGGATTTTCAGACTGCCTGCGTCGGAAGGTATCTCTTTTATAACCTGCTGCGCTCTTGCTTTCTCGAAAGCATCAGTCCTCTGCCTCTTGCTTGGAGGGGGAGGAACGGTCGACATGATCAAGAAGGTTTCGAGTTCGATTGATTGTGTATTTCCCGGGGGTGTAAGAACAAACTGGCTTTGTCGCAACTTCTTCTAGAAATGATAGATGTAGATAAGAAAAGAGGAAAGGTCGTTTGCGAGGGGTATTTCTGGGAATTTATAGGAATCAAGGATTATTACACTGATAAGACTAAGAGTGAATTATTCAACTTTTTTTCCAGAAGAATTTGTGGGTCAGCTAACCATCGATAAGGATTTGATTAGTCATTGATCAACGAGCCAATCATTCAAAGGATTGAAATCTGCAGTAACCCTATCAAGATGATCCGCGCACCTTCCCCGCATTTTCTGCAATCCTCTCTTGCCATCACGTGAAATCAATCCCAACTCTCGCAAGACCTACCGAGCCTACTAGATACTAGAGTGAGTAGTGGTATCCATGAATGCATGAGGACCAAAATCATCCATCTTAACTCTTAACTTCCTCCACTTCTTCATTCCATCATTTCATCATCCCGTTTCAACTCTATTAGTTGATTCCGTTGATACGGGAAGAAGAGTCATATCTTCGTTGGATCTCAGCAATGGATCATCCATCCCTCCACTTTGATACCCGAACTAATGCTTTAGTCGTTGACTGGTGATACTTCCACAGATTCAACGTAATACATATTTCAAAGGAATGCTAGGTGGCGTTCAGAATGGCTTCATTATCAAGACGCTCAACGTCTTACAGTACTAACTCTACATCTTCTCCATGCGGGTATACAGACTCAAATTCATATTCCTTACCTCCTCATGGCCGCCGTTCAAGCACTGCTCGTCCTAGTACAGTCCGCCCAAGCACTGGACGTAGGTCACGAGCAAGTTCCATTCTTGGAGGTGGTGAATCTCAGCAGATCATTTGTGCTGTCAGTGAAGGTCGTGGAGTATCTCCCACTGTCGGATTAGCATTTGTCAATATTTCAACTGGCGAAGCAGTCCTCAGTCAGATCTGCGACAGTCAGTTCTATGCCAAGACTCTTCATAAATTACAGGTCTTCGAACCTACCCAGATTTTGATTGTGTCTACTTCCGGGCCTCCGAACCCGAAATCTAAGATGTACCAAATTGTGGAAGAGAACATACTAGGAGCCAGGATTGTTACAGTAGATCGCCGTTATTGGTCAGAAACGTCTGGTATTGAATATATCCAGCAATTGGCGTTCAAAGAAGATCTTGAGGCGATCAAGGTTGCTATCGGAGGCAACTACTTCTCAGTGTGCTGTTTTTCTGCTGTAAGCTTTCACAGCAGCCCTTTACCCCTTTTCGTGATACTTTCTAACATATGATACAAATGTAGGCATTGAAATACATTGATATGAGCATGTCTCTTGCTTTTGCATTTCATTCTCTTCGAGTTAAATACCAGCCCTCGGAGGATTCTATGATGATAGATCTTGCTACCATTCAATCACTTGAACTAATCCAGAATTTGCAGAATGCCAAGTCAAAGGATTGTTTATTTGGACTGATGAACGAGACGCTGACACCAATGGGATCACGACTGTTGAGAAGTAATATTCTACAGCCTTCGACCCAGTCAACCTTACTAGCTGCCCGTTATGACGCATTGGCCGAATTGTCGGAAAATGATGACATGTTCTTACAGATTAGACAAGGTTAGTCCAACGTCCATATGTTTGTGTGCTCTCGACGTGGAAATGGTTTCATCGTTCTTCGTGTCAACGCATCCAATCATACTCCCATGTTTCGTCCCTTACTAATCAAGTTGTAGCTTTAAAGGTGATTCCTGATATTGAAAAGTTGCTTAGTTGTGTATGCCCCCGAATCTGTTTGTTTGTGCCAGCATCCTCTGACATTCTGTAGCTTATTATCATCCCGACTGTGCCAGGTATTTGGAATTCTGAGCAAGATATCAACAACATTCTGATGTTGAAATCATTTGCATATTCTATCGGTCCAGTCTTTGAGAGTCTATCAGGTGCTCGGTCAGAGCTGTTGGTTCAGATACGTAATAACTGTCGTACAGAAGTGGTCAACTCTACAATACAATTCATTGATGAGGTCATAAATGAGGACGTTACGTACCAGAAGACTCCTCTAGATCTACGAAACCAACGAACATATGCTGTGAAAGCGGGGGTCAGTGGTTTCTTGGATGTGGCACGCCAAACCTTCAAAGAGGCAACTGAAGATGTACATCAGCATGTGACAGAGCTCCATGGTTTGCTTACCCTCTCCTGATGTACTCCAATGTGCTCATATTGGTGGCAGAGAACTATAAAATTCAAGGGGAGATTAGATTCGACAATCTCCGAAAATACTACCTTCGCTATTCCCAAAATGAATTTGATGATCGAGCCATACCAGATGTACTCATTAATCGGTTTCGCAGAAAACACTATATCGAATGCCAGACTCTAGATTTGATAAAGCTCAATCAGAAGATTGAAGATTCTCACATGGAAGTTATCTTAGGAAGCGATAAAACCATACAGGAACTCCTCGAAAATGTACGAACCGAAATTCCCAACCTCTTTAAAGTGTGTGAGAGTATTGCCATGCTCGATATGATTGCTTCCTTTGGGCAACTAGTCACGAACCAAGATTGCTACGTCAGGCCAGATATTACTGATTGCATTGCTATCAAGTCTGGCCGTCATCCCATTCGTGACAAGGTACGTAGGCTCACTTTACATCGTTTCGCAAGACTGATCTATCTCCCTCTTTAGGTGCCATCACACAAATTTGTACCCAACGACTATTACGCAACGCAACGATCTCGTTTTCAAATTATTACCGGATGTAACATGAGCGGAAAAAGTACGTACATAAGAGGGGTCGCTCTTATGAGTGTGATGGCGCAAGTTGGTTGTTTCGTGCCAGCAAGCTATGCATCCTTTCCAATGATTCATCAACTTTTTGCTCGCGTGTCAATGGATGATAGTATCGAAGCAAACGTTTCCACCTTTGCATCTGAGATGAGAGAAACAGCATTTATCCTTAGGTTCATTCCAGACCCTTCTTGCATTTTCAGTGTCCCTGACCCATGGTTATAGGAATATTGATGAGAGGAGCCTTGCTATAATCGATGAGCTTGGTCGTGGGACCAGTACAAGAGACGGTCTAGCGATCGCTCTAAGCATTGCAGAAGCATTATCAGAGAGCCGAGCACTCATTTGGTTTGCCACCCACTTTAAGGAGCTTGGTTTGAAAAACTTATTATCGTCTGATGAGTATGCTTGCTAACAGAGACAAGCACAAATCATGTCTGAGCGCCCTGGGGTTAAAGTCTACCATTTGTCAGTTGACATAAGCGACCCGACCACCATGACAATGCTCTACAAGCTTGATCAAGGTTGTGTTAAAGAACAACACTACGGTCTCACTCTAGCGCGTGTGGTTGATCTACCTCCAAAGGTGCTCACAGTGGCAGAGGAAGTATCAAAGACTCTCATTGCACAAGCTGCTGCGAAGAAGAAGTCATCTAGGACCTCAGCGATTGGTAAACGAAGGAAGCTTCTGAATGCACTAAAAGAGCAACTCAAACAGCTTCTCGATAGCCCAATGGAGAATCATGAATTGCTAGAATGGATTGGAAAATTGCGCAGAGAATTCATAATTCGTATGGAAAATATTGAGATTGTAATGGTGGATAGTGGTACAGAAGATTCAGAAGATGAAAGCGAAGATAATTTCAGTGGGGAACCGAGAAGTGAAGGGACAGTGGCAAGCGAGGGTACTTGAAATTATGAATTCACAATCACTTGGCTCAAAGAGCCTCTTATGTATGACTAGGTATGATAAACATATCTTTTGAGATGGGCCGCAAAAATCAGATCAAGAAGTACTTCAATACCATCTCGAATAAAACTTTTGAAATTAATCATGGTTCCTTCTCCTCAAGCCACTTGGAGACCCAGAAATAGAAACAACTATTTTTAGCACATTGGTGTTGGGCATTATTTTGATGTATTTAGACATGCAACAGTACGTGCATGGGGGTGTGTATGGAAATTTCAAGCACGAAAGATCAGGGTAATTTGATTTTGAAGTGCTCCCATTGGTTATTAACGTCGTCGTTGGCATTCGTTTAATAAGTTGAGAGATAGGGTCATGAAACAACTAGATGGCGGAAGTATGTTCTTTTTGAGAATCGGTAGAAGAACTGGAGGGTATGATTTGATCGTGTAATCTAGGTAATAGTAATCGAGGAGTCTTATTGAGTCTTTGGGCTTGAAATATAATGCGATAATAAGATACAATTATGATTGAGATATCTTCGTATTATTAACATCAAAAATATGACAACTTCTTGCAAGAGACATACCTAGTATTTCGGAAGGTACCACAACCCCTCCCTGAAACCAACAGCCATGCTGATCCTCACGCAAATGTCACACAACCTGTCGTACGACATCCCCAACCCCAGATCATGTAATCATGATAAAAGACCATTTATACAAGCGATCGAATAATTGCATGATATGCTCTCCTCATTTTGTCAACTTGTGTATGTGGTTTCAAATGCGGGGTGTTCCATTGCGCACGCTCGGATCATGGGTGGGGTGATTTTGTCAGCTAATTACTAGGTATAGTTATATAATATCGTATGACCTCTTCGTCTGAGGTGAGGTGAAGAATCCTGCGGTTTGAGCAGGCAATGGTCGTTTCTGTTGGAACTTGGTTGGTGGGTGATATGTATTGGATTTATATATAATGGATTGGATGGAGGGTGTGAGGGAGGATTTTTCAATATTCCGTATATAACAACAGTAACACATGAAAATCATTACATTTCCTCATTATTCCATATCAATATCAATTGGAACTTCCTCTACTACATCCCTACTACCCTCAGCTCAGCTCACAACATCAACAACAACCCAAAACAACCTCCCCAACCCTCCACCATAAAATACCCACAATGCCCAAACGCGAAGCAATCATCATGACCATCACCGCAATCGGCGGTCTCATCGGCGCCAACGCCCTCCTCAAGCCTTCTCCACATCATAGCATCAAAGCGGGAATGGATTCGCAATTACATTCTTTCAATGTGCTTACGAAACCGCATATTGATCAGGATCCTATGTATGTATTACTTTTCTTTGGTGATTTTCTTTTGGCGGGGCGTGGATGTAACTTTGGGGATTTGGGAAAGGGGTGTTGTGCTTTGTAGGGATGGAGAAGGGCAGGAATGGAAGGAATGGAAGGAATGGACGAGCTAATAGGTGAATAGGGATACGATTTTTGATCGCACGGCGTTGATGGAGAGTGTGAAGGATAGGAAACCGTGGAATAAGACGTATGCGGAGAAGGAGAGGCATAGATAGATGGATGGAGAGGTGGTGTGGATCAGTTGGGGGGCTAAAGAGTCGTTTCGCATGTGAGCGGGTTTTCGGGTCGGCGTTGAAATTGGAAATGGAGTTAGTTTCCTTTCCTTGGGAGATGGATGGAATAGTATGATGAATAATATAATTGATACACATATATATATCTGCCATATTTTGATCAGGTACTGTTTTTGTGTGTTCACGAATCTCGATGTTAAGATGGGATTTGAAAGTATCGATATCATTAAAGTGACGCATTGTAATGAGAAAAGAAGATTGTAGCATTATGACTTCTAATGACAAAAAGCCATCAAGAGTACAGTAGAAGGATCTTTGAACTCGAGAAAGTAAATTCCCAGCATTCAATTCCCCGAGTATTGTTGTGGTACTACCACCACCGGGTTTTAAACATATTGGTTTTATGCCCGGAAGCGATGCCCCTGAACGACAAAATATTCTAGGGTTGAAAAAACTCTATAGATTGTTGAAACATCTACTGCAATAACACAAGAGTCTCTCATTGTTCTCCAAATGACTTCAAATTCGAAGAAATCTACAAATATTGAGCTTCGGACTTGATGCAACCAAAATGACCTGCTAATCAATCCCAGACCCTCAATTTCAATCATCCTTTTCCCACAAGACGGTGACCCTACATTTACCCACCAAAACATTCATGCATCAAAATATCTTACATCGCATAACAACAAACAGCCAGGAGATGTACGCAAAGTCTTCATACATCGAGACTCGCACCTCAAGTATGGGTTATAAAAGTGAAGGACCTGGATTTATTGCAACTTCTCAAATTGATACACACATTTTCCAAGGGATCACAATGCGTGTTAGATACTGTTCTTAATCGCGACAATAAATAGCTTCAATACTATCTTCCGAGGAGTGTAGAGTCGAGTTGCATGGTGCGAGTTGATAAGAGATAGGTTAATCTCTCGTTCCTCAATCAGTTGATTATAAAAATTACATAGAATAACGCCATGCAATCGATACTATCGACTCAAGTTGCAAACAAGGTACACGTGGCTCAAGTAAGTTTCAAAGGCTACATACAACGGTAGCGTCTGTTGATCTACAGATGTATACTCATACTTAATGGAATCCGGCTGATGATCTATGCGGCCAGATCCTCAAGTATGTGAGAGAATACAACAATGAATGATATACATCGCTGATAGGACTAGGTACTTTCGAGTCTCTGCAAATAAGCAACGAGTGAGGTGATTAATTGTGGTGAGGCAGCTGACTAGATATTGTATGGAGCAGAACAGAAGAGCTAGTCCTCTCTCCAATTGGCAAACATTGGTCGTATACAATCTGTTCAACGAGACCATAAAATTCCAATCATAACAGAGCATCATAGTTGAGAAGCAGAGCTGGATGAATGACCCCTGAGTTCGTCAAACACCTCCAATCAATCGTAGGGTGCCCCTCAGCTCTGCACTTCAAAACAATCGAGAGATGCGAGGTGTCAAACCAATTCCAAAGTTGCTGCGATTCAAACAGTAGCTTCTCCCTCTGGAGAAAGAAACTGACAGATGGGATTCAAGATTTGTCTAAAGAAGATTGGTTTCAACAGGTCATTGTAGGCTGCGCAACGGGTACCCGCGGGGCGGATAATGGCCTCGACAGATAATCCGCGGATGATCCGTCTGCAGAGCGGATAATTCAGAATCTGGATGGGTAACCCGTAGGGCAGGTACAAATTACTCACGAATATCCACCTACCTATATATTATATAACTATTTATAATATTTCATAATCTTTCATAATATTAGTATAATTTTATAATTAATATAAAAATTAGTATAAATCTAAGCTTAGATCACTTTTGGGCTGGAAAATAATCTGGGAATAGCTTCATATTTTAAGCGAAAAAAGCAAAGATTCTCCACTTTTTTCGAAGAATCTATATATCTACAAATTATTTACAAATAATCCGCAAATTATCTGCAAATAACCTATATATCCGTAAATAAATGGATTATTTACAGATAATCTGCAGATTATCTGTACAAAGCAGGTAATTTTAAAGCTTTGATAGATAATCCGCAGAGTAAGTAGAACCTCTAACGGATAACCTATGGAGCGGATTATCCGCAGATAATCCACGGGTACAGATAATTTGTGCGCAGCCTAGGTCATTGTGGCTTAAGATAAAGTAGCCCAAAATAGTACACCAACTTGAATGACTGATGTAAGAAGAGCGAAGGGCAAAAAGGGGCGTAAGTCATGGGAACGCACTTTCCCGAGTCTTTTTGATCAAAGAGGAGTTCAGATGCGCATGCAGATAATCAAAATGAGAAAGACAATAGCAAGATGCGGCAGCTGGGATTGGGTAAGAGGAGCATGGCAGTTAGACCAATGGAAATATCTTCGAACGACTACCCGTGTCTACAATTGTAGAGCGCAATGGGGTACCCTGAACCTAATCTGAATAAGATTGGTTCCTCCGGATCCACCTTTTGATGGTTGAATATAATTTGATTATCAAGCAGGTTTGAATTTCAAAGCTCTCGGATTTCAAATCAATTGTCGACTCATATCAAGGTAGGCATAAGCACATTTTTCTTCCTGTAAGTTTCAACCATGCTTCGATACAGCGGGCATATTTACCTACTCTCCCACATTTATTCCTTTCCATAGCCAGGAACAAATCGCTTAAAGCTAAGTGTTGACTTGAACGAAAAGTTAGTTCATATTACCAGGCTGATGATGGCGCCATCTAGCACCAAAACCATCAATGTCAGAGCGAAGAAAGTTGTAAGTGACCATTCTACCCGTACGAATGTGGTTTTTGCGGTTCTCTTTTAACCAACCATAGCCATATTTCACACCCGCACAAAATCCTCCATCAGGAACAGCATTGAGCCCTTCATTGAAGGCCCAGATCATCCCAAAGCTTTTCCAACCATTGACCTTTAGAGGCGTGACGTTCCAAAACAGAATATGGGTGTGTACTCCCAAAGCTTTGTGTAGTTACATGACGAAGGGCAATCAATGATTTTGCTTTTTGACGTAGGTTACGCCATTATGTCAATACTCGGCTGAAGATGGAAAGGTGACGCCATGGCATCTGTCCCAAATTGGGGGCTGGGTCACACGTGGTCCTGGCTTTACTATGATAGAAGGAACTGCTGTTTCGCAGAACGGACGGATCGATCCTAATGGAGTAGGGATCTGGAATTAAGAGGAGCTGGAATCTTTGGAAACAGTTGTAGATTTTACACATTCTCAGGTACGTAATAGTCGTCAACTTCCTACTCGATTGAATAATCAGCTTTATGATACCCGTTCCTCGATGCTTCTTCTCTCTAGCAATTCCTCTTTGTAGGCAAATACTGACGTTCTGATGTCAAACAGAGCCAAAACATCGGTATCCAGTTCTTTCATGTAGGCAGAAAAGCTTCCACAGTTGCACCGTTGTTGGGAAATGAGAATGCAAGTAAAGAGACAGGTGGTTGGCCTGATGACATCATCGGTCCAAGTCCGGTGGCCTACGATGAAGGTTCTCTCATACCTAAAGAAATGACGCTCTCTGATATTGCAGATTTCAGAAGGTCTTGGGTAAGCTCTGTTGAGCGCGCTTTACGAGCCGGGTTCGATGTCATTGAGATCCATGCCGCTCATGGGTTTCTCCTTCATCAATTCCTAGCCGTAACAGCAATAAGAGAACAGACGAGTATGGTGGTAGTTATGAGAATCGCATTCGTTTGCTTCTCGATATAATTTAGGATACCCGACTTACGATAACCGAGACAATGCCCTTGTTCTTACGAATCAGTGCAACAGATTGGCTGAAGGAGACTGAAATTGATGGTTGGTCTCTTGAATATAGTGTGCAATTGTCTGTGAAAGCTGCAAGCTTCGGCGTATATTTTATTGATGTATCTTCTGGCGGCTCCCATCCAGGACAAACCATCAAACTCGGCTCCGGGTACCAAGCTGGCTTTTCAAAATATATTATAAATGCTGTCAAAGATAAAGCCACCGTTGGTGCTGTTGGTAACATCACAAATGGCGTGCAAGCCAATGGACTTCTTGAAGAGGGCCTCGATGCCATCTTCAATGGAACGATGTTTCAGAAAAATCCAGGTCTGGTTGGGTCGTGGGCGGATGATTTGGTGTAAGCTTCCACCAACGTGAACCATCCATAGAGACTACTAACTTAAGTACAGGATTATCGTACATGCTGCAAGACAAATACAACGGGAGTTTAAAGAGATTCCCAATCCACTCATAGCCCAAAAGTTATAGCGGATAGTGCATAACTTTCGCTTCTTTACCTATTCATCTCCGTAGATCATGCCATTATACAGCGCAAATATGAGATGAGAGGAGAACTGAACAAAGGCAGAGAGGAAGATGGTATTACTCTTGTAGAGTGTGAAGTATATAGACGGTGTGGATACACATAGACAACTTCCACAGGCAAATGTAAATTATCGATACTTTGCCCTGCTTTCCTCCAGACTTGCGTGCAAAAGCTAACATAACGGGCACAGCTTCAAGACAATTTCCCGTGTAGATACACTGCTTGCTAATCGCCATTCACCGCTTTCCTGGCCTTGAAGATCAAGACAGTAGATCGCGAGTGTGGGAGGTATGGCAGTAACACTTGTTACAGCATCCTCAAGAATTTTAGATAGTTGAATACTTTAAGTTTCTTTGTGTTTTAGAAACTAAGCTCTGCGAGATTTTCTTCTGTTTCGTTGTGATACTTTAGCTGGTGCCTGTTATTTTGTGATTTGTTTGTTGCAACCTTAAACAAAGCAAAGTTGAAGTGTTGAAGTGAGCTTAGGAGGGATAAGCTCGGACATCTCAATTCACCGTGCCCCTTTAATCAACCCTTACAATATGTCACGTGCTGTGTCTTCCTGCGTATCACTTCACTGCTCATTGCTTGTCGTAAATCGTCTTGTTATTTTGGGAATTCAAGGGTAAGTAAGGGTAGTACATCTTGTTTATTCTAGCATCTAGATGACCTAGATGGCAGCTGATTGAAGTGCTTGATGGTTGAATAGAGTTCGCCTAGTTTCTAATCTCACACATCTGACATCCTTCAGAATTAAGTTCGAATTCGCCGACATGGAAAACCGACAACATATTCGACTCGCTATTGGGCGATAAACTTCATACGAGAGATACCAATGGAAGTATCTTGAGCAAGTCAAACCAGAGAGGGATGGATACACTAGGTAGATTAGTGGGAGATGATACGATCACACAACAACCATTTACGTACTAACTTCGTTCCTGCCGTGTTTGTGTTTGTGTAATGTATCGTATCCCTCACATGGTTTATGCCAAAAGAGGCATGTACGATTGATAGGGTTAGTTATCTATATCATCTATTCATACTCGAAATGATTTATTGAGCCGTGATTTCACTCTTCTCAATTTCTCGGTGTTCTACTACACCCAAAACACAACACAACATAGTATCGAATATCGAATACAAAGCACCAAAAATCATCTTGTCGGACATTTGCAAATATGCCTGAATTCGATATTGTTGTCATTGGCTGCGGTATGAACTACGTTATCTTCTCCTCTATGGAATAGTTTACCTGTTCCGTCTCATTTACGAATCGCTGACTTTTATATGATGTCACAAAGGCCTAAGTGGCTTGGCCTTTGCTAGATTCTACCTTGATATTCACCCAGAAGCAGAACTTGTTATTATTGAAGAAGATGGATGTCTTGGTGGCGTTTGGAGTCAAAGTAAGTGTTGTTTACTTTCTAGCTGTTTCCTTCCCTATCATGTTTTCAATTATATAGACTGACTTTAGTGTGTACTCTCAAGGACGATCGTACGATAATTTCTGGTGCCAAAGTGGCCGCCGAATGTCTGGATTCTCCGATGTTCCTTTTACTGTTCCCGAAGATGCGCCTTTATATCATGATACATTCGAAGCAAAGTATGTCACCAAATATCTCGAGGAGTATGCGCATAATCATATATACAACGGGAAAACTCTCTTTTCTAGGATAAAGTTCTACCACAAAGCTGTCGAGGCCAATAAAGTGTATGATAAATGGGAAGTCATAACGGAACTTGCAAGCTATCTCAAACAAAAGCGTCTAAGTCAACCGCCGATTTCCTATACATGTCGCAAGCTTGTTGTTGCTACTGGTCGTACTTCGCATCCTAGGATACCTTCAGTTGATTGGGAATCGAGTATGGAATTTGTTCGTCATCACAAAGCTTTTGGGGAACTATCACAGCAGCCATTACCTTGGGCCAGCGGTATACTATTCTTTGCAGTTCTTGGCGGTGGCAAGTCCGCTGCAGATATGGTCTATGAGTTGGTCAAGAAAGGTCAGAACGTCAAATGGATTATCAGAGCAAGTGGTGAGGGCCCAGCTCTACTGTTTCCCGCTCCTGGCCATGGGCGCTACAAGAATTCGGTCGAAAGTTCGGCAACTAGGCTCAGAGCACTGTTTAGTCCATCTCCGTTTATGCCAAAAACTTGGTGGTTTTCTATGATTCGTACCTTGCTTTATGGAACCCGCATTGGAATAAACTACATGATTAAGAGAATCAAGAATGTTGATCAATATTGTCGTAATATAGCAGGATATGGCAGCAGACCAGGATCGTTACAGGGATTTGAGCTCCTTGACTTTAGTTCTTCGTGAGTCTGCCCCAGTTATGCGGGAAAATAATACTGACATCATTAGTGCATTTTGGTGTACTGGACCTGTAGGACTTGTACAGCACGATGACTTTTGGGAAACGATATCTCAGAATGTTCAAGTCTACCGGAACGACGTTGTTTCTTACAAAGACAGCATCATAACTTTAGACAATGGCAAGCAACTTGTAGCAGATGAGGTATTGTTGGGAACGGGCTGGGATCCCCAACAACAGTGTTTTAGCGATGAACAAGCTCAACATCTCGGCCTTCCTCACTTTGAGCCAAAGGAGAGTACTGAAGAAAGATCTTTATGGAAGCAGCTCTATGAGAATGCAGATCGTCGAGTGATCGCTGAATTTCCACTCCTTGAAACCCCTCCTCCGCACATAAATCGCGCTTTCCCTGATACAACAGAACAAAGACTATACAAAGGTATCGCATCACTTGGAGATGATTCAATCGTGTTTCTAGGGGCTATAGATATTTCTAATTCTTTCCGAGCCGCCGAAACACAGGCTATCTGGGCAACAGCATATTTCGACGGTAACATAAAGCTACCTCCATTGGAACAAATGGTAGAAGAAGTTGCGTACATAGGGGCTTTTTCGAAACGAAGATATCCTAGCCACGGTCAGAAGGGAGAATGCTTTTTCTTCGAGCTTGTTTGGTATACGGATGCTTTGCTTCATGAGGTCGGCTTGAGATCGCATCGAAAAGGATGGTGGGCTGACTTGGTGGAACCTTGTCTTGCATCGGACTTGAAGGGTATGAAGGATGAATACAAGCAGAAGTTTGGATTGTAAGATTTCTCTTAGTTACTGAAAGTATTACTCCTGGGTCCTTGGTGGCTCACGGACGAATAAACAGTGCTTCTTCAGGAGTTTGTGAACGATTATTGAGATAGCTAAAAGTTACTGGCACCTAGGTAAACTTTCACAACTTCTAGCTTCTCTTTTGGCATCTTAATTAATTCTTTCCTAGAATAAAGATTTCAAAGTAGCCAGAAGTGTACTAACTCGCTTGTGTAGGGATTACTTCACATAAATTCCACCCAACTATCTGAGTAAGTTCCGCCATGCTGCTTGTTCAACTCTTTGAAAATAAATGGACCCCCAAAATTTCTTCGCATTGTGAGCTCTTCTGAATAAATCATAATTATTCAACCATTGTTCCCTAACACCTCTCAGAATTCCATATCAGAGCTTCGATTGAAAGCGTGGATTCGTTCTAATTCGCTCCCCATATCTTAATATTAGCAAAGCAATTGGCACAAATCCTATCGCAATCAATGCCAAAACACTATTACCCCATCCATACCCCAAATGATCATATAGAGGATTAGCACTCAACGGGATCAAAGTTGAACAGATCGAACGGATGATGGTGCATGCTCCAGTAGCGCTCGCGGCATAGATAGTATAGGTATCTACAAGATACATCTGTACTGGCAGATAGCTAAATAGGATACCAATCGCAATAACTGAACTTCCAAGAATAGGGACAATCCAATGGGTGTGATATTCAAGAGACCATCCGTACCAGAGAAACCCGATGGGGAGGAGAAATGCACCGATGAACATGGGTGGCAGACGATATTCTGGGCGCTTGTCGTTATTTTTCGCTTCCATCTTGAGCATATAACGGTCAGAAAATCGGGCAAAGGTTAGTTGGCAGAAGAAGAAGCCGAACATGAGACCGAGATATGCTAAACCGCTTTGACCGGGTGTAAAAGAGTAGTTATCTTGAAAGACCGTGCCGAGGGTCGCGAAACATACCATTCCGTAGGCGTTGCTTAGGGCGCTGTAGAAGCCTACAAAGGGAACTATAGGTGAGAGGAAGAGCATTTTGAAGGGACGAGTCCAAGCTGCTTGCAGAGCTTCTCGAGGAGTTTTTGGGTTTGTGATCTTTTGACCTATTGGTAAGCCTTTCCCCTCCTTATTTTGCTTTCGATTCAAGACTACTGGTTCATAAGTCTCTTTGAGAATGACCAGAGAGAGAGAGAACAAAACAGCAAACTGCTAAACTGTTAGATATCTAAAGTGATATATCTGGGGTTACTTGCAGAGATCAACGTTGAGTAGAAAATCCATCTCCAACTGATGTTTTCCACAATATAACCACCGATAATAGGACCTACTCAGATGAGTCTTTTGACCAAACTATGAGCCATGAATAAAAACTGACCAATTGTTGGACCCTATAAGTAGTTAGAAAGAAAGCATGTCGTAATCATATCAAAACTATACATACAACAACAGGCCCCGTAGACATAATACTCAATGCCAATCCTCTTTGTTCCCTGGGAATAAGATCTGCCACGATCGCAGGACCCATGAGTACGAAGGTGATAGCCGCAAGACCCATAATAGCACGGAAGATTACAAATAAAGGAAGACTTCTGCTCGAACCACAGACAGCTAGAGCTAGCATAAAGCCGATGTATCCAGGATATAGTACAGTCACATGTCCGTATAGTTCACTTATAGGGGCGACGAGAAGAGGTCCGAGACAGTAGCCTATGGTGTAGATAGATATGGTGAGAGAGGCGATTGAACCGTTGGTAGAGTGAAAACCAGCCATTATAGAGGGGAGCGCCGGCTCGAACGCTGAGGTACATGTTGACCTGTAATAGTTAGCTGCTAGTTTAGGGGGCTGGAATATCATATCATGGATAAGCCCTACGCTATAAAGTTTGTGACTACGAGAAGAATTATCGTCGTCCATTTGCGCATCGAAGACCAGTTTATAGGATTTTGGGGATCAATTGACCAATGTGAGAGCGATGGATCATCATTGTTGAGATCATGCTCATTCACGAGTGGCTCCGTGGTCTGCTTTTCCTTTTCCAAAGAATGGAAACCATCACCGTTTGAAGGATGAAGTGAAATCTCCTCCGCACTTGTATCATGTACATCGCAAGGGGAGTCTGTACACGGTGTACGTTGAGGCCCGGCTGCCATTTTAACAAGTAAAAAGTTTAAACACGGGGAGTAATCTCAAAAACAAAAGCCACAGTTTGATAGATTCAAGCCCATGGAAGACTCAAAATCACAGGGGAAATTGTTGTGGAAATCCAGTTGAAGTACCCGTGGAAAACTCAAATATGCCTTAGGGTATGACTGGTTTTCCTACGAGGCATTCTCGTAAATACCTAGGAACTTTATGTATGTTTAGTGTTACAAAAGCACATCATAATATGATTAGATACAGGATGATAGGTGCCAAATATCTCTCAAGATCCACATATCTTGAACGGAACGTTCGAAATGGTAGCACATGCTATCATTCCATTGGAGTCAGAGCGATTGTGTTCGGCAACCACAACGGGTAAGAGTGGTAGTGCCAGAAATGCTATCACAACGAATGGCCCCGATATGAAAGCTTAATAAAGCGGTGGAGACGGGTCGTGTATGCCGGATTAGTTTTCATGGACATGTAGTGCATCTTGTGGGACGGTAAAAACTCGTTTTGCTCGCCGTAAGGCTAATCAATGGGACACAGTGTAACACTAATAAGCTTGGTTGGTGCGACTGACTTGTACACCTTTTCTCTTCCGAATATTCAAGCTTTGTCTTTGTGTTTGACAGACGTGCGGATGACTTGGCCAAGACTCGTTAATCGACATATTTTACTGAGCGCTTCCGATTTGCCAATGGAGTAGCACCGGCTCTATTCAAGTCAATATCTAATTCTCAAAGAGTATCATGAAGATAGATTATCACAGTCATGTAGATGCATTGAATAGACATCTTGTTACTAACACTAAAAATGCTAATCAACTAACTCCCATACATGAGCCGAACTGAAAATATAACACAATCCCCAAAACTAATCATGAATCATCTCGGACCTTTTGTAGCTTCTTCCCTTCAAGTATTCGGAAAATAGATCCCAATTAACACATTCACGTTTGGATTGCGGACTTGCGTTCATATCATGTCTTATATTACCAGACCAATAGTAGGGGAGAGGTGCTAGATCCGGTTGACAGATCATAGATGAACGAAGGGATTCGAGACAATGTACTGAAGCTAGTTAGTTTTCTTGCTGTAACGGAATATGAATTAAGTTCAACCTACATTGATGATGTCTATCATCTGCTCGATCTTCGTCCGTCCAATTGGCATAGTAATGTTCTGGGAAAAAGGACTGTCGGAGTCGTCTCTAAAGGGTGGCGTCAAGTAGTAAGCATTTAATCATCCCATTGCCAGTAAAAAGGAGCCCATACCAAACAGTGCAGATTATGATGAACGGTAAGAATGACCGCAAAGTTGTCGTCTTGTAAAAGTATACTCTTGTTAATATCTAGCCTCGCAGCTTCCTCACGATAAAGTCTAACACCATGTCCTCGGTTTGCTAGAGACAATGAGTATTTGAAGGTACACTTTATGTTATAATCGAGTCTACTAACGATGTATAAGATTATTCCATGCCTGTTCTGACTCATCGCATGGCTCTCCCATGTAAAGATTATTCGCCCAAAGATCAGATGGAGCCGTTTCAATTTCGTACCGAATCCCATCTACAAAAGGAGCTGAAGGTCTGTTAGAACAAGGTGACTTTTTGAGAAGCAAACAGTAAATACTCCACAATGATGGACGATGACTCGATTTCATCTCTGGCAGTTTGAGGAAGCTACTTCGGCTCGAGGAAAGCAATGTAGCCATGCCAATCAGAATAAATGCTGCAACAATGCCGTATATCATGATCAACATGGTCCATGATCGCAATCTCCCTGAAGGTCCTAACTTGGGAGATGCATTTCCGCAATGAGGACAGTTTCTATCGTCATCACCTTGGCCCTTTTCCTCAGAGAGCAATCCCCTAGTACCTTCAAACGTATTAGGGATCATAACGAAAGTTGAGAGAATGGATCAGATGTGAAGAGGAGATTTGGACACGATCGAGATACAGAGTGGGGGTGTAGCAGATGATAAGAGCTGGTTAAGGCTGAACTCGTGGAACTGTACCGGTCATACAGAGTCTTTTCGTACATATACTAACTGCACACAAAGGTCACTTCATCGCATCTTTCACCACATAATATCCGGAGCTCTGCACAACTGTATATGCTTCGATATATCGATATGGCACTCGAAAGTTTACAGTCGGCATGAACAATGGCGACTAGACAAGTACGCGTGCTTAAATTGTACCACCTCGTCATTAGGATTTCGTTCTCTGTCGAATAGCAACGCGCAATGAGATTAGGGTTGAATCTGTACATCCTTGCGAAGCCCTATCATTGTGAGAGTACGAATACAATGTTATACTTCAGATGATCAGTTGGTATACAAATCAGATACACAATTAAGATATCGCTTTTCAAAGTTACATGGCATTGCTATATTCAAGATACATATCTAGAGAGCTGCCAAGTAAAATGCTTCGCTAGAATTAAAGCATAGTCTTTCCTCCTCGGCAAGAAGATCTTACAGCATCAAGGTACCTCCTTGAAGCGTCAGCCGAACCTCGAACCTCGAAAACCGACGTATACTTTCTTCGTCATGCGTTTCCAAACTTTCCTCCTCGCAGTTTCTCTTATTGGCACGGCCATAGCTATGGCCATTAGCCCCAGTAAGCTACCTGCTAAGCATCATTTCACTGCAAAGCTTACATGAGAAAAGGAATTGAGGAAAACTCTGACCTCGCTGCAGAGGGTGCTCTTGAGTCACAGCCTAATCGTGATAATTGGTGATGGTTTTCGAGCTTGGAGGTCCGAATCAAGATCCAGTGGACGGAAGATTTGTGGAAGAGGGGCCAATACCAGGGTAATTTGGCGTAATAATAAATCGACTATGAGATGCCGCGGCTTTAACTGGCTCTCTTTTATGTGGAATTCGGTCAGGTGATAGACTGACTTGTGAGCTGCGGTCCGACAGATTTGAATCAAAAGAATGGCCATTGGAAATACTTTGCGTGCCATCATCTCCTTCTCTTCATTGACGAATACCCATGTGAAATATAATGTTCGAGGGTTGCATTAGCCTAGAACGAACACTGCCACATTCGTCCACGAATCTCTCTATATCGAGATTGAATTACAGCTTGGCTTTCGTTCTCTTGGGATGCTCCTTCTCCCACGTTAAAGCTATTTTCGCTTCCATTTCTAATCGTTGCTTCAGAGCTTCATATAAATCCTTGTACGCGCCGCCAAGTTCCAGCAGATTCGCTGGTACACCTCTGTCATAATCCAAAAACACTATGCATATTTTGAAATCCGCAACAATAACTTGCTGGTTCAAAGACCAAACGGAGGTAATACCAAAGTAACGATCTGGGAAAACCTCAGTGATATGATTCGCGACAACAAGCTAGTACATTTCGTGAGCCCAAATTCAACAGCATCTCACACAACAAACTCATACCGAATCAGGGAACTTCACAGGCCTTTTGAAATTAACCGTATAGTTCTTGACAACAGGTCCAACGCCGCGGACCTTGAGCATATCCTGAAATTTTTCTTTGCCCAAATACGGTTCGAATGATTGGAATTCGCGAAATGCGCATTGATTCACATAATGCACGTAAGCTGCGTTCTTCACGTGCTGGAACGGATCGTGGTCATCGGCCCAAGTCACTCCACATTCAACCATGGTTGCCGGATTGTATCCCATTGCGATGGCTTCCTCGATCGCTCTCTTACGAAGAGGTGCGTAAGCAGAACCGCCATCGGGACTTTGATAGGAGGAAGACTCTAGAGCGGAGCCGAATTTCGCAACTGAAGCCATCGTCAAAAATGAAGTATGTTTAAGACTTTCAAAAGGTTCCGACAATTTTGAGCTTCTAAAGGTTGGCGTTCCTCACAATAATTTTTGGAAATGCCAATGATCGAAAAAAAACATCGATGAGTGGAAAGCTTTTCTTTGTATTCGAAGAACTCGAATTGTGTAATCGGGGTCCCACTATCAATTCTTGAATGGCAGGGATTTTCAAAGCAACGTGGCGGCGGCAGCACCCGGGACAACAGCTAAAACACAGACACTATGGGGGCCCCACAACAAAAAAGCACAGTAAACCGATCTAAAGTCGTGATTGTCTTCCTATTTTCTACCCAGTTAGCTTGCTAAAGCTATTGGTATGTAGCATACTGTACATTTGTACAATCCAAGCTCCTTTTTCGCCTTTTTATGGTATATGCCCTGCCTCGTCTACTCCTACTCCGCGAAACTTCATAAATCATAGAAAGTTGATGCCTACTCCGAATTGGAGACCTTTTCTGGTTTCCTCTCCCTTCCTAACAACGATGGGTAGACCGAAGTTTAATTCAAATCGTGCCACGGGGTGTGCATACACCATTCCTATTCCGACCGCCAAGCTTGGGGTCTCCTTACCGAGTTCTGCGACTGTGCCATATACGCTCTTACTTGTATTCTGTTCTGAGCCTTTAAGTGCAAGGAGACGGCCGGCATTAGCGAATAACTGTAAGCGCAGTGGGGTTGACACGTCGAGGCGGGGAAATGGAAGAAGAAGGTTTATAGACGAAGCTGCGTAGATATCACCTCCAACCGCATCTTGTCTGTCCCGAGGCCCCAGACCACCAATCTTGAATCCACGAACATCCGTTGGCCCCCCAAGTTGAAATCTATCGTTTATGCGTGATGGCTTGGGTGCAGCGCCGAATCCAACGCCTAGCGGATACAACATTCCACCTCTGATACCAGCGGTCAAGCTTGCACCAGGGATCCCAGGAACTTTGACAACCCCACTAGATTCGACTTCCGATTTCCAGAATCCCACGTCTCCTTTTAGTGGTCCCCAACCTGCAATTTCAGATGTTGACTTTAGAAGGTATCCTTGGTTTGGTAGTATAGGGTGATTCCGTTCGTCTTTAAGCCAGATATGTGAGATACTGCTCTTGACTGTATCTCCTGCATCGTTGCGTACCGTAGGTGACGCATTTCCAGCCAATCCCGTCACTTGTCTCCACACTCCACTGTATCCAATTTGATGTGTGCTGCCACCGCCTGAAGCCCAACTATATTTTATACCACCGCCCTTGAGGACTTCTTCGTGACTTGCCCAGGGCTTACTAGTCGCGCTCGATAAAACATCCACAGCTACCCTTTTATCGGGATCACTCAAAATTGGAGCCTCGAATGTAGCTTGATAGGCAGAACGAGTTCGAGTACCAGTAGCAGCATTGACATTCAAAGTCTCGGCACCCCCAAATATGTTACGCCATTGTGCATTTCCATAGGCTGAGCCTTCGGCATTGCCAAGATCAGTGCCAGTTTTCAATGTAATGACACCTCGCTCTCGTGCACGAATGTATATATCGATATCGGAAGGAGTGGAAGAGGGGTCAGTAGGGTCAGGTTTATCAATGAACATCGAGATATCATCGTGGAAAATGCCTAAGACGAATAAGTATAATGCTGCTTAGGCCCCGGTGGGGAGTATCGTACCATGTCGACGGAGTTTATTTGTAGCTGTACTGAGTTCCTGCAATGCTTCCGACAATGTATATGGCCCATCTCTGTTTGCGCTAAGCAGAGGGTCGAAGATTCCGTCGAGGAATGACCTCCTTGTGTGCGAGGGGCCAAGGAGTCTAATCGAGGAGATCGTGACCGGTTTTGTGGAATTGTTGCCAATCTATTCTGTGAGCCCATGAATTCAAAATTTCCCGAAGCTACTAGATGTACGTACCAGCTCTCCGTTTCTCTGTGCAGCCTCTAAAGCATATCCCATATGCTTCTCTGCTATAGCTTTCTCAAGCTCTTCTTGTGATTTCGGATCGGTTTTTAGGAGACTCTCGACAAGCTGCAACAGAATAGATTAGCAACTTAACCTTGCTGATATGTTCCAAACAGTAGAAATAAAACTCACAGCCCCCTTTGGCCCATTTGGTGAAGCCATATCTTACAAGTATACCCAGAACTATTCCAAGTTCTCCTCTCCGGGTCTCATTCACACAGCGGGGCAGGCTTTGGTTCAAACATTGTCGATGACTAAGCGAGAGACTAATAATAGGCCTATTGCACTTCCATTAACTTATTGAATCTTCCTATTTATAGGTCCTATTTATAGGAGAAAAAGAGGCCAGAATTAATCACTCTATTAAATTCTAACTGATAATTAATCAAGTAACAATAAAATCTCAAAAGTTAATAGCATTAAAAAAACCATGAACAATATTCAAGTATAAAAATTATTTCAACTTCCATTGTCTATAAATTGGAATGGAACATTTGGATTATTGAAGGGCTTGACCACCGGCCTGTTTCTTCTCCCACATAGAGTTATATTCTTAACAAAGCCCAAAGCATTCCATGTGAATCTTCTGTTACGAACAACACAACCTACAACTCGCACATTCTAATTGATTTTTCGACAAGTCAAAACAACATTTTGGTTCTGATTGGATTTCATATCCTAGCCAAAGAAAATCATCCGTCAGCCATACCCAAAAACCTTGCGTCAAACCTCCGAACGTCCTCAAAGTTTCAAGTGCGACGATACAATGGCAAGTCGAGCTGCCAACAAACGGGTACGTAAATCAACGCTTTATCTGTTTGATATTATATTAACACATTCTGATACAGTTGACCCGTGAATACAAGACCATATCCGAAAACCCTCCTCCATACATCGAGGCCCATCCCTCCGAATCCAATATCCTCGAATGGCATTACATTCTCACTGGACCTCCCGATACTCCCTACCATGGTGGACAATACTGGGGTACCCTTCTGTTCCCTCCCAACTATCCATTTGCGCCTCCCTCGATCAAAATGCACACGCCATCCGGGCGTTTCCAACCCTCCACTCGTCTTTGTCTCTCGATCAGCGATTTCCACCCTAAGAGTTTTAATCCCGCGTGGGAAGTAAGTACAATATTGATAGGTCTATTGAGTTTCATGACAAGTGAAGAAATGACAACGGGTTCGGTAAACGCATCTAAATCGGAAAGAAGATGGGCTGCGAGTAGGACGAGATGGTGGAATAGCACCGGAGGAGGAAGTTACAAGAAAGACGGAACACAGAAAGGCAATATCAAGGCCGGAGACGGAGGCGCAAAGTTTAGAAGTGAATGGGAGGAGTTGGATAAGGAGAACTGGAAGTGGATGAAAGAGAGGGGTGTCGATATTGTGACTGGAAATGAGGAAAAGAAAGATGAGGAGGAGAAAGGCAGGGACTGCAGCGGAATTGCGATGAAAAGACCAGGAGGTAGTCAAGCTGTTGTGGGGGCTGTGGTAGAAGGCGGCAGAGAGGGAAGAAGTTGGTTACAGACACATAAATACTGGATCGCTGGTGGAGTGATTTTCACGTATGTCATGATTGCAAGATTACTTTCAGAAGGTCATGAGCTATAGATGTGGACATATATCGGTTTCTAAGCATGGAGTTCAGGATGGGATATGGTTTGTACAAGAGATCAGCGTCCTTCAATACTTTCTATGAAGGCAGAGAAAGCGTCGATGGAGATCATTTTTGATTGGGAACAGGAATAGTCATATTTTCAATAAGCACCTCCTTTTATTACTGGCAAGATATTGTGCTCTTATTGTAAATGAAATTGTGCCTGCAGTATGATCTTTGAATATGAAATTGTTGGAATTTGATCCTTGTGAAAATTTTAATATTACTATTCTCTCATCTCCTCAGGGAATACTACAATCTTGTATCTTCCCAGCAATAATACCTAGGTATGTATTACAATTGTCCCAACTGTTCTCGTATGCTCTTGGGACCATGTATTCTCCTAGACACCGAAAATACAATTCTTCCATAGGTATGAATGCTGTGATCTTCTCTTTATATCTCTGCCCTCAACCAACTCCCAAGATTTCAAATCAATCCCAATATGCAACATCAAAAAATCGCCACAAAGCTCAAAAAAGTCATCCTTATATAAGGGGGTATCAACAACAAATGAAAGATAGCGAACTATAACAATGTAGCCCAGTGCTCCTGTCGCTCCATGAATGCAATCCCACAGGAAAACACAATCTCCTCTCCGGCTCAACGTCTAATAAAAGAACTCCACCTCCTTCTGTGTTCCTTTACTGACTGGGCTCTCTCCTTGACCCTTTCCCCTTTCATCTCATTCTCAACCTCATCTTCCATGACTAGTCGATATCTCCTCACGCTCCCGGCGTCATCATCTCCTTCTCGCATATCCTCTTGACAAAATCTACCTCCTCTTTTATCGGCGGGCAAGAAACAATCGGGTATACATCGTGTTACCAATCCCCGAATTCCTTTACTTGCTGCGTCAATGGCTGCGTACTCTAATCTTCGGGTTTGGTCCGAGGTCCAGTAATGGATTGTAGCTGGTGGGGGTGGAGCGATAGTTGAAGTTGGGTTGGATGTTTCTTGGGGTAGGTCATCGGAGAGTGATGGAAAGTGGAAATATTGGTATTGTGGTGGCGTTGATAATGTTTGGCTGTGGTGGTGCCTGGAGACATTGGGGCGTGAGTGGGAAGTGGACGCACGGGGAGATTTTGGACAGCGTTTGGGTGTTGACCGACTGGTTGCACTGGAGGCTGAGGAGGAGGTGCTAGAGGAATCCTTTGAACGCGAAGATGATTTTCGGGACGCATTCAATGAGGGCCGAGGGTTGTGAGAGGAGGATTTTGAGCTAGGTCGTGATGACGTTCGCATGTGACTGGGTATGTAGGAAACATTTTCTGCGTAGCCTGAGTCTTGACGGTTCATCTTGGTAGGGCAGAATTCTCGAGGAGAAGATATGGTGTGTGGAGGAGCACGGGATGAAGGTGATTGAGGAATTTGTTGCTTGAGCTCGATTGGTGTCGGGTGTGCTAGTGCTGAATAAAAGACTGAAGCATCAAAGCTTATACTTGAATGACTCCTATTGCTCCAGTTGGTAGTCAAGGGGGACAGGTTCCGATGGGGTCTGGAAGACATGTCTGAGATTGAAGCGAGGTTGGATCGAAATTGTAATGACGATTTGGTGCAAGTGCGAATCGTGACTTCTTGATTTCGCTCGGGGTGTATAGCCGTCTTGTATTTCTCAATCTTCTCGTAGATTGCAATTTAAGAACCATCTATTGCTAGATATGCTCGCTAGATTGGTTTAAAATCTTTTGAAGAATTCCTGGGAGCGGAGTTTCTGTGGATTTGGAAGTAAACGCTCAATTTCGTGCGGTGGGTACGTCAAGTAGATGTACGCATATGGAAGAACCACGGGTAGTACCCCAATGGTTCTCCAAATATTACCCAAAGAATGATGTAAGTAAAGTCTTAAATTTCCCCGGTGGCTTTCCTCTAAGTGTATGTACCAAGCCCACTACTCGATAGATTTGAACCTTGGAGTTCTTAGATAGTTCGTTAGATCTTCTTCCAGCGCTTGGTTTGTTGAGCCGGTACTAAAATCGCCTAGTGCAGCGATGGAAGATTGATCCAGAACAATTTCTAAGATTCGGTGTAAATGAGATTGGATGTTCGTTGGCAATCAATAAAGCCCATGCCCCTCCTAGCTCTTGTTAATGCCTCTTGCTCCGCACGAGTTGACCTCAACCCCACTCCACTCTCTTCCTATCTTAGCGTACTTCGTAGGTATCTTGAGCTTTTGTTGACGATGAGAACGGCGAGAGAAGTTGAAGATCTAAATTGGTCACACGAGGGATGACTTGATTCTAGAGAAACTTGTGCTATAGCACTTGCTCCAAGATGGATGATCGGTTCAAGAAAGGAAGAAGATTTCGCGGAAATCTTTGGGTTAAATTTCAATATATTTCGCACTATCGAGAAACCCTGGGGAGGAACTTTGCCCAAGCCGATTGTCCAATTATTTCTTGCCAATACCCACTTGCAGTTGATTAGAAAATGTCTTTACTTTTCCATGTAATAGTGGATATAATCAATACAAATCCAAAGATTGGATTCGCTGTGTTAAGAGACCGCTGCACAGAAAGAATCGCGCTATCTGCAAAGCACGTTCGGGTGCGATGTCGCCCAACAATCCGTATTTTGTGGAAAATGGCTTTGGTGATGATTTGAGACTGTAAAGAGATTCTTATGACGATGAAAATGGCGTTCGACACCGAATAAAGTGACTCAATGATAATAGAATAAGAATAGTTACCTAGGCAAAGATCAAATGCTGGAAAATGGTACAATACGATACAAGATATAATCACAATTGCGAAAGGATATGTGATGAATGAATGCTTCTGGCATTTGAATGACATATCGGCATTAGATATAAGTCAATCATTCCTATGCATCTTTCGCATGTGAATCTTTGCCAGTCTCTTGAGTCTTGAGTCTTGACTCACTCACCAATAACCTCGTGGCAGTCTATACCAAGTGAAACTCCAGATTTCCTTTTTAAGAATTTGGCGCTCCACCTCGGTATGTATTTTTCTGTCGCATTGGAATCACACGCGCTTGTTCGTCTCACTCCATGGCCCAATCATGAATATGGATCAGATGAAAGGATTATTGAGAAATGAGGACTTCTAATCTCCTAGTCCACATAACTCATATTAATTGTACTTATTATTATCTTGAAATCCGTACATGTGTATCGAAGCGGTGTGTGTAGCAGCAGAAGTATCATCTGAGTTTGGAGATGAGTACCTACTTCTATGTTTGCCCAGCCAAGCCATAAGCGTCGTATCACGTTTATTGTATCCATATCCAGACCCATACCATAGCATACCAGGTAGATAGGTACATTCAGAACTATAAGAAACCAAGTTACCAATAATCATAGAAAAGAGTATTCTTCGAGAACTCCCCAAAAGAAGAGAAAAATAAAGACGAATTTTAATACTTCCACGTGACCTAGACAGACCCTTCATCACTTCTTCCCGAGACCTTCCATTGCCAGAGTTCTTTTGCAAGACAAGACAGACTGTCACAATTGAATCATCGAACATTCTCGACCTCGAGGGCCATTCCTATAGATAAAACCGACATCCATCCAGAGGGAAATTGCTCGAGTCTTAAAGACTGCAGTTGGAGTAAGATGGCGGCATCCTGGCGTTAAATATAGCCACCTTTTCGATGTGAAGAACGCCCACTCAAGCTTTTCGACTTGATGACGGTCAAGCATTAACTACTGCAATTTGCATACTGGGTGAAACCATAAGACTTTATTTCATTCTTCTAACACTTCTTACAGTGTAACCATAATCTGTTCATCAAGCATTGTTGAATGGGTCTGTGTAATTTCTATGATTTGCCACTCTTTACAAACCACCAACATCATCGCCACATGAAAGCCTCCCACTTTCAGCGTCTGCAATCAGTTCGATGAATTCGATCTGATATAGGTCTCCTATCGGGACAAGGCCGCAGCCTTGTCTCCGGTACTATTTCGAGCAGTCGATTAGAATCTGGATTTTGAGGCTCGTTTCCATTATAAACCTTATTCCACGTTCTTTTGAAACACTTTGTAGCCTTTCTCATAATCCAAGCCATTTCTTTTAGCCTATCAAGTCTCGAGTCACTTGTTCACTTATCAAAGCATGCAGGAAGAATGCCTTTGCCTTGTGTTGATCATCACCTTGATAATACTTCTCACCTCATCCAATTCACAACAGGCTTATTGCCTTGTATCAACCACGGGTACCCATCTGCCAAGCAAGCCGAAACACATTGTCTCATCCTTCGCCATTAATATGTAGAAGAGAAGGCCGGCATATAACTTCTTAGTATCTGCTGGTCCAAGAAAGACTATGCGTGCATCGTTACAGCCTGCATATTTCACGAAACATCCATTCTTCTGCGACCGCTCTAGACCTCGAACGGGACTCTCTTTACTTGATGACATGCTAGGACAGCAAATTCTGTAGTCAAATGAGTTACACCTTTTTTCCCTTTGAATTATCTTTTTCCAACTTTCAATACTCTACAACACTTGCAAGTTCACAGCTACATAGCGCAGAAATATAATAGTTTATAGGATGTTGAAAGAGTAGTTCATTTTCAAGTCTTCTCGGCTTCTACCCTGTAATCAAAATATGGGAGTTCCTACTGCTCAGCAAACGAGCTCATGCGTAGTCTCTACCAGCACACAGAAGACTAGTTGGTCAATCTGGCGAGGCAACTCAATCAATTGCTGATATTAGAATCCTATCTTTGTCTTCGACTCGCTGAAGTAATTTCGCGACCTCATCAAAGCACCTCGATTGGCTTCAAATCATGTGATTTATGGGGCGACCTCTTGCTTACAAGATGTCGGCGCCTATTTTTAGAGAAGATCTATTTGATCGTCGAATACCATGCCCTTTTTTAGGTAAGTGATTTGGAGGTAGTACCTCCTTGGCATTTCGACCGTCTGTACCACCCCTTGAGAATTCGCGCCAGGATTGGGACCTCTAGATAGACTTGACTGCCTTTG